TACGAATGTGTATATGCATGCAGACATGCTTGTATATTTATGGATACATCGGTATACATACACATGCATTACATACAAAGACATTAGTCAGAGTATGCTGAGTAATATTCCGAATATTAATCGGAGGCATCACTATTTTCGGTTATTTGTACATTTATGTGTATTTGTAGATATATACAAATGTATGGAAATTTATATATATATACTTTTTTATAGTATTTTAGTATACACATTTTCAATGTGCATGTCCATGCGGAAATGTGTGGGCATGCCGGTTAATGATTTTCACAAACTTGCTTTTTGTATTTACTATTTGAGTTTTGTGTGTATATAGTTATGTGTATATGTATAAAATCTTAAATTCTTTTTGACCTTTCATATATTCGATATTAGGGAAACTTAAACGAAAATCAACTGGTAACTCACATGCAAAAAATGTTGCAATTATTTTTAACCAAGCGTTTTTTTTTTTTAGTATTTTTATAAGTTTAATGCAAAATATTCATATGAATATGAATATCTAAGGATTTGTTAGTTATTCCCTGTATATCTTAAACTAGTTTTTCAGTAACCTATTATTTGATATACTAATTTATATTGATACATATTGGATCCGGCTAAATCAGATTTATTTCTCATATGTACATATATAATATAGCAGGCCATCGATTGAAATTTTATTGGTCTTTATACTTTTTCTGCCTTGTGCGTCTTATCAATCGTTAGATAATATTTTTCGCAAATGTACAAAAAAAAAGGCAAGAAGTCTGCAACCCCAAAAGGCCTTTACATATACATATATATAAATATATACATGTGTACATAAAGTGGTTCGAAATATGCCTCGATGAACACGACTTTTGGCTATCGGACTGTTAATCTGCATAGGATAACGGTGCATTGATTATGTTAAAAAAAGGCGAACGTCAGAAAGTTGTGTATTCGTTGTTGCACTTATTAAATAAATAAAAATATACAAACAAGTATTATTATTCTTTGTTAGCCATGAAGATGAAGAATATGTTAAAGTTAATAATAATAAGTTTATTACTTATTAATAAATATTTTCCATTTAAACAAAAATCTGTTAACATATTAGCTGCAGTTGACAAAAATCCAAAGGCTTTCTTTTGTTTCATTAACCAACACTATGTAAATGCTGATAAAAGTTATCATAGGATGCGGGGTTAACAGGTACAGCTCTAAGAGAGCTTTACTATTCTAGCATATCTGCTAAACCGTAAGGCTAGTAAATATGCCTTAACCAAAATTAAATATTTATATCTTAGTATTTTAGCAAATTATAATTTCGATCAGCTATTAAAGTTAAAAATACAATCGTTTTATAGAGAAACGTGTAACGATATGAAAGTCAGAGAAACCTATTCTTTTATTTTCAATATGAAGCCCTGAAAAAGAGCGTAAACTTCTGTAGACTGTTCTTAATTACAAATATAATATTAAGCTACAATACATATCCAAGTGTATGTAGCTTTTAACATGCAAATGATAAGTTTTGCTGCTTGCCTTATTCTTGTCAATTCTTATAATCGACAGGCTTCTGGAGTAACTGTGTCGGATGTATGCAAAACAACATACGAGGAAATAAAGAAGGATAAAAAGCACCGTTATGTTATTTTCTACATTCGCGATGAAAAACAGATCGACGTTGAAACTGTTGGAGATCGGAATAGCGAATACGACCAGTTTCTAGAAGATATTCAGAAGTGTGGTCCAGGAGAATGCCGGTAAGTTAAATGTAAAAAAATGGCAAAAATTGATTTTTGACATATTTGGATAATTTTTTGGATAAGCACACAAATAAATAAAATTCCAATTGTAAGAATCTATGTATACATGTGCGCGCAAACATAAACATAAGGAAAAATAGTTTGATGTAATCGGTGCTTCTTTCTTTATATATACTTTATACTTTCTAAATATATCCATTTACATATTACTATGACACGCGCAGCCTAGCATTGTTTCAAAACTGGTGTTATTGTTTGGGGAAGGCTCATGGGATCTCCTGTTCGAGTACTCCTCGGCGGGGAATCTCGTAGAATCTTTTTTAAACGGGAAGAACAAGTAAAGTAAATTATGTGTCTTTCTGGAATATGATGAACACCCGGATCCAAGTTTAATTCATGAAGGACAAATAATAAAAGAATGTGTGAACTGAATATAATTTTCTGTTGAGGGATCGACAAACTCCATCGAGTATAGCAAAATGACAGTCCCGCCCTTATTGACCACGTGCGATTCGAATTTGAGTTTATGATCCGAAATGACACCTAGGAAAAATATCAGGGAATCTGTCTTTTTTATTATTTGACGAAACCACGGCGTTAATGTGTCCTATCTAATGTAATATCCACACTTATTACTTATAAATCGAATCGAATAGAGCGGCCATTGTGGGCCAATTATTTGTACGTATATGATAACATTTCTGTTTTTATATTTCAGATATGGTCTCTTTGATTTTGAATATATGCACCAATGCCAAGGCACGTCAGAGAGCTCAAAGAAACAAAAGCTGTTCCTTATGTCATGGTGTCCTGATACTGCAAAGGTATTTTTTATTGTTTGACTTTGAAAAACTAACTAATATGTTATATACTTTAGGTTAAGAAGAAGATGTTGTACTCTAGCTCTTTTGATGCATTAAAAAAATCTTTGGTGGGGGTCCAAAAGTATATACAAGCTACTGATTTGTCAGAAGCATCCCGTGAGGCTGTAGAGGAAAAGCTTCGTGCTACTGATCGCCAGTAGGCTGCAATGACAAACGTCTCTGTGCAATGCATTTAAATAATTGCATGAATCAGTGATTATATTTGTATCCGGTCAAGATCCCCAATTTGTATGAGAATTTTCTACATAATTTGTATTTTCAGTATAAATAAAGAAAATTATAATGAAAACTATTTGTATCATTTAATTTACGTTGTAAATAGAAAACATTTGTAAACAAATGTTTTTTAATTTAAAAATTATATAAAACGCTATATTTTTGTTTTGCAGCTGAGTAACTTAACTATTAGACGAGGAATAGAGGACTAATCTGTGGCTTTTCAATTGGGTTATATCGAAACCCTTGGTTTTTCATTAACATTTTGGTACGAAAACTACACGTCAAGAACCCGAGGGAGGTGTTCCGCAGATTGAGGGCAGCCAACCTGAAGCTGAATAGAAAGAAGTGTTGTTTCATTAGGCAGATGTTGGTATACCTTCGGCACGTAATAGGCGGGTCGTGAGTGCGGACCGATCCGGAGAAAGGTGCAGCAGGGTGAAGCGGTCGTAACCTTGGAGCCCCGACTGATTGCAAGGAGTTGCGACAATGCCTCGGGATGGCCTCAGCTCTGGCATTTCATACGGCAATTCTGAAGAGTTGCAATGCGTTGCAAAAGAGATCCTGCTATGTCAACGAAAAAGGCAGCCTTATAAACGACGAGGAATATATTCCATGAAAACTTTGTGTAGCCAGGGGCCAACGGCAAAGAGTGTTGCGGGAATAGCATTATGCATCCACTGATGGAAACCAAGGAACAAGACAAGTCTAGAGCTACTACTGGCCCGGCATGTTCTGCCTAGTCGTATGTTAACGAGACAGGTGTCGAAATTTATGGTAGTAAGTGTTCCTTTAGTTTATCTGTTATCATCGATCCGATCATCCAACTTTATAATGTATTTGATTAGACGGCTAACGCATACAAGTCTTTGTATTTCTTTATTTCGTTATAAAAAAGAACAACAACAACCAGAGAGGGAGCATTTTCGGTGGTCATGCACCGTGGCGTGCACCCGAGGACTGTCCAGCGAGAAGCCAGATAACAAGAGCGATGTCTCGAACAGAAAAATGACCAGATCCTTAACTGCCTTGTCATTCTTATCGGCATCGACCTTCCATCGAACGCAGCGTCGTACAATTGGATGATCGGGATTGATTTCCAGTTGAGGTGTCCCGCAGAGCATTGGCCTGCATTACGCGCTCCATGTTGGCAGACGTCACCTCGCAGGCAATGCTGGAGGGTGAATCGACCAGATAGTTGAAGACGAAAACCTTCTCAGACTTGTTGTCCAAAATCTTTAAACATTCGGTTGACAACATGCAAACGGCTGACATTAATAGATTGATGCAAGAAACCCTTTGAATGAGGATTATTTGATGGAAGTTATGACGATTAATGATAATAAAGACATCAATAATGAAGCAGCTCAGCTATTAACAGCATATTCAATTTGTGAAGGCTTGAAATTTGCTTCAAGTATGGACAATATTTTCTCGCCCATGATCTTAACATGGAGAGTGCATTAAAATTGCAACTTTATCTTCAGTTTTGTGAAGCTATATATCAATAACTACATATGCAACTTGGAAAATTAAAAAAAAACAGCAGCTAAACAGACATTATGATAATAAAAACAAAGCCAAGAAAACAAATTTTAATGACAAACAAAATTCTTCATTTTAATCAATTATTGACTTTGAATAGTTGCGAAAATAATTTTATTTCTAATATTAATTTAATGTTGTATAAACATATATGTCCACTTATGGAATGAAACTTCACAAAAATTTTTTAACATTACCTTTTTTTATTAAAATTAATATTAAGTATTAAATAATTAATATTTTTATCATTATCATTTAATGTTACATGCTTTACAAAAAAAAGTTTAGAGTTTTACGATTTTAAGCTATTTTTATAAGTTGTAGCAAATTTTTCCTAATGTAACATATATTGTATATATTATTATTACTCAATCATTTTTGCACGTTTTTCTTAGGAAAGTAGCTACCGTGAAAAAATAGAGTTGAATGTAGAAACAACAACATATTACTCTCAGATCTTTTGACTCTGTCATAAGTTAGTTGTAGCAGTAAAAATTGTTTATTATGATCGGAATGGTGAAATTGACTAAATATTTTAGATGCGTGCTGCGACGATATCTTGACATACATATGTCTCCAAAGCAACTCTGTGTGTTGCCATGTTTGACAACCGGAAGATCACAGAGATATATCCCTTTCCTTTTTGCTACTGGCCTCTAAAGTACAAGTTGAATTATTCAATTTGTTGACAAAAAGTTCAATGTAAGTAAATTAAGCGTATTTGAATTTGATGAATATTAATGTAAGTAATGTTTTTTAGATGCCGCGTGAAATCAAAGAAGTTAAGGATTTTTTGAACAAGGCTCGCCGCACCGATGCCCGTGCTGTCAAAATAAAGAAGAACCCTACAAACACCAAGTTCAAGATTCGTTGCTCACGTTTTCTTTACACACTTGTGGTACAAGACAAAGAGAAGGCAGATAAAATCAAGCAATCGTTACCACCAGGCCTGCAAGTGAAGGAAGTTAAATAAATCTGCTGCTGCTATGAGACGTGTGTTGATGTACTTGATTTCTTGGGCACTATCTTTCAATATGTTCGTTATGGAATAAAACAAATGGACATAATTGCGGTGTAAAATTTAGTTCTTATTTTTATCGGCTTGCATAAAAACATTGTTGGCTCTGTGATCGTAAAACATCTCCATTCAGGAATACGGATCAACGTGGATTTTGCATCTCATGAGAAATGAGCAGACCCAATTCGTTCTTAAAAATAATATGCGATTATATGTGACCAGCGGGTATTCGCCGGCCTTGCCCGGCTTATAAAATAAGTAAACATCCAAACTTGTGGAAATCGGATGAGATTTGACCGAGTTATGGGAGAGGGCATTTCGGCATATATAGGATATTTAAAGATACCATTTTACATGAATCTTGACCAAAACTAATGTCAGATTAAAATGTCAAGCTGATCAATGAAACCATGAAGAGCCAAACCTTCAGGTAATTCGGATAAGATTTGACATAGTTATGGGAGTGGAGAATTTTGACCTATGTCTATATAAGTTATTTGAGGGTACAATTTGAACTTGAATTTTGACCAAGAATAATGTTGACAGAAATATTTGTCAAATTGATCTGGATGTCAAACCATGAACAAAACGGCAAACTTTTTGATTAGTTCCGTGACAGTTTTTAATGTTAATGTTCGATGCCAGCTTGTTTTTACAGCAAATATGATTACATGATTATTTGCCATTGTCGATCCTGCATAATATGATTAAGCTGTCCCAAGGAATTTGGGTTATACATATTCAATCTATCACAAGCCACAGCAAATTCGATAACTTTTTCAATTGTGTGTTATTATTATAGATGCATTCGCAGTGAAAACATCCATTTAATTGATTGTTTCCGATAGATAAAATAATCGAAACATTATATTTAATCGAACAGAATTATTTTACAGAGTTCTAAAATCGAATGTATAAAAATATGAGATTGCATCCCTGACCAGTATAAGTCGGCTTTTACATTGTTTTGCAACCGCCTTGTGGATATGATTTGTCCAAACAAGCGTTAATAAAATGGAATATGAAACCTCCTTACCTGAGCTTAGTGGTAATTCAATTGAAAGTTAATAAGTAGTTGCATCTTGTTTGCTTATGATATATTAAACGATACATTTCTACAGACACGAATGAAATATAAATATACACACATATATATGTATAATATATATTTACATGTATATTTATATTTATATATAAACTGCATGATTCCCTGTGTACTTTAATATTATATGAATATGGCTAGAGTAAAATGGAAGACAAAATACATATGTGCTCTGCGGTAACAACATTTTAGGACTCTTTGTTATAGCAGACATTACTAAATACATATGTACATACATACATCTCGGGCCTCATTTGACATTAAATGTTAAAACTGGTCGTAAAAATGTATGTTTTTACGATACACAATCAAGATCAGCAATATTATTGTGGTAACTGCTCTGCAGTATACAGAATTTGCCTAATAGTTGCAGTTAATTTACTATTGTAGCTCTGGTTCGTAGTCGTATAGTATGTACATATGTATGTGTTTAAGAAAGTGTCCCTTGCGAAATTGTACAACGGGTATATCGAAAAAACGAGTCATTTTGGCACTTCCTTTTAGACAGTTGCCTACGGTTTTGCAGATGTGTGAAAATAGTGAATTTCGTAAATGTGAAGTTTGATGAAAATATTTTAAACAAAGAACCAAGAACCTACTTATCGACCGATAATTTCTATATAAGCTATGATATAGTGATCCGATGTTAATAAGATTTAAGTGTAGTTAGCATAGCAACTGGATTAACAAAATAAGTTTCCATACAACAACCTACTTTTGGACCGCATTGGCGAAGCACTGAATGAGTGAAGATGGACTTCAGAGAATACGGCAGGATGTTTCCTGAATATCACCAGTGAAGCTATGAGACACAATACCCCACTTTAGCCCCATTGATATTCTACTTGTGCAAGTCAATTTCTTCTGTTTCAGGCATTTGTCTGATTTACTGTTCCTCAGTCAGTTCGTTGCTATGGCAGCTATATGTTATATTTATCCGATTCGGTCGGTTCCGATATATAGTATGTACTGCCTGTTAAAGAATGAAGGATATATGTAAATTTCAAGACGAGAGCTTCAAGACGATGCGCTTAGTTCGCCAAGACCCGGGCTCGTTAGTAGCGTAGTTGATCTCCCTGTCTTTCAAAGATCTGGAGATCATTGTTATTGGTAGCCAGTGTTAGGATATGACGGTCCCATGCCGTAATCTTACGCATCAGTAGTCAGTTCAAAAGGGTTAAACATAACATCCTTCGAGTTATAAGATTTTGCGGATTTGCTCGCGAAGAACGTCATTTAGGGATCTTTGAAATATAATATATAATTAAACCGAAGGGAAGCGTATCTTTTTTTGGTGCTATCCACATTCAAGTCAAAGGTTGTGAAGAAATTTGCCTCTATCTTTGAAAAGCTAGGGAATTTCTCAACCTCTGTTTTGTGGACAGACAGTTACCCCTATTGCAAACGTCCTCGACGCCTGAACGCAACGATCTCAAAACCTATAAGAGCTAGATACTTAATATTTTAAACGTGGTCCTCCTAGTTTTTTCCCGATGTGGTTGTTACAACATATTGTATCGTTAGTGCTTATACTGAAAAGCAGGCTTCATTATTTATTGAGTGCCTACATTGACTAATAATTGCTTACAATTTTTTTTAAATTTTGATACATATATTTAAAAAAATAAATAATAACTATTGTTTTCAGATGTCCTCGCATTAAGCTGCAACAAGAGGCTGGAACTGCTGGAGTCGTTTTTAAGTGAACCAGATGGCGATAAAAAGTTAAATTACAGCCTTAACTTAGAGGATAACTTTAAGAGTCACCAATTTTCAATTGATGCTTTATTGGATACATTTATATTGCTTTATGATGAATGCAGTAACTCATCCCTTCGCAGGGAAAAAAGTGTATCGGATTTCCTTAAGCTTGGTAAGTTCAAAAACCATTTTTTATAGCCTGTTCACAACGAGCATACTTGTTGGTTTTTTGGAATATGCGTCTTGCTTATCGTCCGTCTTTCGTAAAAATGCAATTTTTCGCCGCTTTTGTTTATATTCTTGTCAACGTGTAAAACCTGCGAAATGTATGTACCAATTTATAAAATTTTCAGGATTTAAATAGGTATAAAAAAAAGTGTTAATTTGTTCTGTGACACACTAGAATATATTTTTATACTCAGAATCCATTAAAAACAAGTGAAAGGGGTATAATGTATTTGTGCAAACGTATGTAACAGGCAGAAGGAAGCATCTCCGATCCCATAAAGAATATATATTCGTGATCATCAATTGTCTTTTTTAAAATACACGAATATTCCATAGTAATATTCAAGGAAGTGTGTACATGTCTCCTACGGCTAAATCCCTAGCAAGTCGCACTCTTTGAAATACCAACAGGGCGGGCTGAGACGTTTAAGAGCATCATCTCTGAATAAACTAGCTATTCAATGTAGAGGTCGGATTTTAAAATCACCCTTGATTAAGTTGTCAGTTGAAGCTACTTCGTTCAGTTATGTTTCAACCTTTCAGCCAGTTTTGCGGACCATCGTTCTCGAAAGAAGAAGAGGGCTGATTTCGACATCTTCACTTCGAGATTTCCTGTGAAATGCTATAGCTGCAGGCGAGGTCGTTAACAGTAGTGCTGACCGCTACAGTTGAATCATTCAATTTAACTGATACGAACGAACTCCACACCTTAAACTGGTTTGTGTACGTTTTTAATAAGCTCCAAGTAATTACTTCACCAATTGAATACAATAAGGCTTTTCAAACAATTGAGGAGATTACTCAAAAGCACGAGACACAGCCCGTGCAGTCCTTGCAAATAATCCAATATACGTGCCGGTCTTTGAGCATTTATGAACAACCTTATACAGCGTGTTTGGGTTGTAAGATCTGAGAAGGTCCGTTAGAAAGACAAGTCACGTGTTCATTGCTTTAAATGCATTGCAATTCATTGTTACCCCAAAAAATGTTATATTCAGCCTCAAACGAGCTCATTTTCGTGGTAAGTCCCCTTTTGTTTTTTATTTGTTTTGTGTTCATGGTGGTTGATTAAGAAGTTATTTTCGTTTTAAACACTGAATTGATTTTATTGTCTTTCCAAAGATATTCGTCGTGGAGGATATTCCCAAGTTGTGCACTCCGACAAGAAGATGAGAGAAATTTGGTCATAAAGCGGATGTAGATTTGAGTTCACATCTCCGTGAACACTGCAATTAGGAGGCCTTTGGAAGGCAGGTGTAAAAACTGTCAAATACCTTCTTCCATAGGCGGGCAAATCGTTTTGGTCGAAATTAGGGCTGTAATGAACTCTCAGCCAGGATCAAAGCTATGTTGACCCCCGAGAACCGACAGACAGTCTAGTCTAGACAGTCAGATCGGACCCCAACTTCCCGTACCAGGAGGGCCCAGGTTGATTAAAATGGTTTCGCGATTATGTGCTAGACCTCCATCAGGGGTAAGAGACATCAGCAGCAGTTAGCCACGAAAAACGGGACCTCGTGACGTAACTACCAGCGTGTGTTAGCGCAAGATTTATAGTCCCAATCTCTTGAAAAAATTTATTTTTGCCGCCCTACGCCAATAACTGTGTCTTCTTGAAATGTCTCTTATATTTGCGTTATAAGTTAATTCGTATTCTTCCTGTCATAAATATCAAAGTTCTAGCTTTCGGAAACACCGATCCACGAAAACAAATATTAAGAGTTTATATGTCGCCGCACATATGAGTACATAAGTATCAAGTTTAAAAACCTCTAAAAGCAACAATCTTTTCCAAAATGATATGTAAAACTTGTTTACAATAATATTGATTTTATAACTTTATTTTAATTTTTGTTTACGAATTTCAGCTAAACCGTTTGTCCACATTGTAAGGAAGCTTCGCCTGACACGTGAAGACTTTGAAATATTAAAAATTATTGGACGTGGAGCGTTTGGTGAAGTTTGTGTTGTTCGCATGCTCTCGTCGGAAAATATTTTTGCAATGAAAATATTAAACAAATGGGAGATGCTAAAGCGAGCTGAGACGGCATGTTTTCGCGAAGAAAGAGATGTTTTAGTTCTTGGAGATCGTCAGTGGATCACAAACTTGCACTACGCCTTTCAGGATAATATAAATTTGGTATGCTATAAATTAACCGGAAAGTGTAAACAAACTACATTTTTTATCAATTTTTAATGTCATAGGTGTCGATAATATCAGCTTTGATAATTCAAATGTTCTTAAGTGCATCCAAAAAACACCTAAACACACAAGAAAGTACGGCGGGAAGGTTAGGCAGTCGCTGTACTTTTAATTCTGTCAGCTATCGATAACATACATTTTTTAATTAATTTTTGTTATAGTAGTCCGATCTTAATGACATTTTCTAGAAGCCCAACATTTAACCAAATAATGTTATTTCACAATTAAGTGGGGAATTTCTATCTATGTATACATACATATACATATACATGTTTATAGGATATTTGAGGGTATCATTTCACATAAATGTTGATCAAGAATAATAATGTTGTCAGACTTAGAAGCCAAATTGACCTAGAGGTCTAACCATGAAGAAAAAGCCAACCCTTATGAAAATCGAATGAGTTTTGACCTAGTTATGGGGGTGGGGAAAGGAAGAAACACTTGTAAATTAGATGTAATAATAATCAATCTCACATCTTCTCACAATCTCTCTCTTCACATTTTTCGATATTCGTTTGTTTTTTTTTTTCATTTTAGTACCTGGTTATGGACTATTACTGCGGTGGAGACTTATTAACATTATTGAGCAAATTTGAAGATAAACTTCCTGAAGATATGGCAAAATTTTATATTACAGAAATGATCTTAGCGATAAATAGCATTCACCAACTCAAATATGTTCATAGAGATATAAAACCGGACAATGTTTTGTTAGACAAAAGGGGGCATGTACGGTTAGCAGATTTTGGATCCTGCTTACGCTTGGATAAGGATGGTACTGTTCAATCGAATGTTGCCGTTGGTACACCTGATTATATATCACCCGAAATTTTAAGGGCCATGGAGGATGGAAAAGGACGTTACGGAACAGAGTGTGATTGGTGGTCACTTGGTGTGTGTATGTATGAAATGTTGTATGGAGAAACTCCATTTTATGCAGAGAGTTTAGTGGAAACATATGGAAAAATTATGAACCACCAAAATTGCTTTAATTTACCGTCTCAAGATACTTCACACTGTAAGTTATCGGAAGCATCTAAGGACTTGCTTTGCAAGCTAATTTGTACACCAGAAAACCGACTTGGTCAAAAGGGGCTACAAGATTTCATGCAACATGCGTGGTTCGAAGGAATTGATTGGGAAAATATTAGATCTGGCCTTGCGCCTTATATACCAGAAGTATCAAGTCCAACAGACACATCCAATTTTGATGTGGATGATAATGATGTGAGATTAATAGATTCTATTCCTCCTTCATCAAATCCTGCCTTTTCTGGATTTCATTTGCCATTTATTGGATTTACCTTTTCACAAAATTGTTGTAAATCGGATTCAAAGTCAGTTGACCAAACCCCTGATAATAAAAATGCAACGTCCAGTTTAGATAAATCTCTTGGAAGTCCCTTTTTGTGCAATAAACTATCTAGTGATACAGAAAAATCTAGCGAAGTATATAACAATCAAATTAAAACATTAACAGAACAGTTAATTACGTCTAAACGAGAAAAAAACGAACTATCCGCAAAGTATAATGAACTTGTTGAAAGACTCAAAATTCAAGAATCTGAACTTAAGGAAACAATTTCTCAGCGCAATGTGGCAATGATGGAATACTCGGAGGTTACCGAGAAGCTTACTGAACTTCGAAACCAAAAGCAAAAACTCTCAAGACAAGTTCGAGATAAAGAAGAAGAGCTTGATGCGGCAATCCAAAAAAATGATAGTTTAAGAAATGAGTTGCGAAAGTCTGATAAAACGAGAAGAGAACTGGAACTTCACATTGAAGATGCTGTAAATGAAGCGTCGAAAGAGAAAAAAATTAGAGAGCACGCTGAAGAATGTTGCAGAAAGTTACAAATAGACTATCGAAAATCAATACCAAATGTAGATTCAACAACTCCTACAAGTGTCTCTTCGGGAATAGCATCATACGAAATAGAACGCTTAGAGCTTCAATATGCCGAAAAGTTAAATCATCAACAAGCGCGCAATAATTTAGAACTAGAAGCCCTGAAAGAGCAACTTAGTGAGTTAGAAACATCCAACTCAATACTTTCTGCTGAGTTGCAACAAGCACATGAAAAATTAAAATGTGCCCCTATTGATTATATTGCTGATTCAGCAGAAACGATTTTAGAATTGCAGAAAAGATATGATTTGGATAAATCAACATGGTACGAGGAGAAGCAACGTTTAAGCTCAGAAGTAAGCGAAAAATGTAAAAATCTACGTGACTTGCAAGCGGATGAAATTCAAATACTTAAGGAATTACAAGTCAAGCGAGAAGCAATAAACCATTGGGAGCTCCAAATGGCAGAAATTATTCAATGGGTATCGGATGAAAGAGATGCTAGAAGTTATTTACAAGCGCTAGCTACAAAAATGACTGAAGAAATAGAATATCTCAAACATGTTGGAGCGTTAAATAATAATGCAGTAGATCATAAAAATTGGAGAAATAGGCGATCACAAAAATTGGATAAAATGGAGTTACTCAATTTGCAAAGTGCTCTTCAACGCGAAATTCAGGCAAAGGCATTTATAGCTGAAGAGCTTAGTCAAACCAGGGCTGAACTTATTTCTACCCAAAAAGAAGTTTGTGATTATAAAAAGCGATGCGACAATATTCTATATGATTTAAAGAAAAAAGAAATCGAACTTAGAGACATACAGAAAATTGATGTTGCATATCCAGAGTCTTTTTTAAATAAATCATCGCATCATAACAACGCTTTCTTCAAAGATATATCTATAAACCCTGATGTGATAGACTCTGAAGAATCATATGTCAACGATGCCAGGGATAGTATTTCTTCTGCATCTAATTTGTTTCAAGCATCCAATAGTGGAATGCTTTTTAACTACGAATCAAAATATTCACTTAAAACAATTAAGGACAATATAAGTGTAAAGAATTCTACTATTAATGATGACATTAGATCTGAAAATAGTTCCAACTATGAGGAATCCAAAAAAAAAACCAACAATTCTTCAATTCATCAATTCCTTGTACGAACATTTAGTAGTCCTACCAAATGCAACCACTGTACTTCTTTAATGGTGGGATTAACAAGGCAAGGCGTTGTTTGTGAAATTTGTGGTTTCGCATGTCATACTGTTTGTTGTCAAAGAGTTCCGACTATGTGTCCAGTACCCATGGATCAAACTAAGAGACCCTTGGGTATAGATCCCACAAGAGGAATTGGAACAGCATATGAAGGATATGTTAAGGTTCCCAAATCCGGTGTCATAAAACGAGGATGGATTCGTCAATTTGTGGTCGTGTGTGACTTTAAACTCTTTTTGTATGATATATCTACTGATCGGTGTGCTTTACCTAGTGTAAGTGTATCCCAAGTGTTAGATATGCGTGATCCAGAATTTTCTGTTGGCAGCGTCCGGGAGAGTGACGTTATTCATGCTGCTAAAAAGGATGTCCCGTGTATTTTTAAGGTAAGACTTTTAGAATATACAAACAATTTATAGTCCAAAAAGATCTTATGTTGAAAATCTCAACAAGATCGGTTAAGAAACACAGAAGCTATTAAAGAAAACGTTTAACATGTTAATTAATAAGTATACCCAAATCTATTCTAAAAATTTATCTTTTTAGATTAAAACATCTCTTATCGAAGGAGGAATCTCATTAAGCACTTTGATGCTGGCGGATAATGAATCGGAAAAGTCCAAATGGGTAATTGCATTGGGAGAACTTCATCGCATTTTGAAACGAAATAATTTACCAAATACGGCCATTTACAAAGTAAACGAAATATTAGACAATAATTTGTCGCTTATACGAAACGCACTATGTTGTGTTATAACTTACACAAATCAAATTTTACTAGGAACAGAAGATGGGCTGTTCTATTTAAACTTAGATCAATATGGTGAGTAATACTTATTTATTTTCGATTGATCGACTTTAAACTTATTTCCCATTCATTACGTAAAATCAAGTAAGAAAGTTTTAGTTAAGTACTCCAACTACGTAATACTCAGAATACGCAATATCCGGCAATAAGAAAATTCAAGATCATTTTGAATTGTTACTTAGGGACACTATTTCCTGCTCTACTACTTGTAATTTAAACCATTCATTTTATTTTATAGTCTACTTGTTAACAAAAAATTAAAACCAAACGATATTTTTTTTTTCAGAAATTGCGCGTATTGGAGAAACAAAAAAGATTTTGCAATTGTGGTATATTGAAGAAGAGCAGATAATTGTTATTCTTTGTGGAAAACAGCGACATTTGAGGCTTTTACCGATAAGAGCTTTGGAGGCAAGTGACGTAGAATGGATAAAAGTAATAGAGTCTAAAAATTGTATTTCTGCTTGTACCGGAATAATACGGCGTTATCCAAGTATTGTGTATTCATTTATTATTGCGTTAAAACGACCCAATAACCACACGCAAATCATCGTTTATGAAATTAATCGAACGCGTACCAGACACCAAAAGACTTGTGAGTTCACGATCGGATATTTAGCTCAACATCTTCAAATACTGTCAGATATGCGCCTAGTTGTTGCTCATCAAAGTGGATTTACAGCCTATTTTTTGAGAGGAGAAGCAACAGCAATGTGTAAGTATAAAAAATATTTCAAGTATTTTAATAGTATACCTTATGCGGCCATGGTAAATGAAAACTATAACTTTCATAAAAATAACTATACAGAAAATAACTAATAGATAATCAAGGTTTAACTGTTGGTAAATAAATATAAATACTTCTATTGAAAAAACAATTATTTCTTTTCTAGCTCTTGTTCATCCAGAAAATCAACTATGTGCGTTTTTGAATTATTCTGGGGTTGACGCTGTTCGAGTAATTGAAATACTTTCCCCAACCGGAGGAACTTTTGGAGAATACCTCTTGGTATTTCAAACTCTAGCAATATATGTTGACTTACAAGGGCGAAAATCACGAGATAGAGAAATAATGTATCCGGCTTTTCCAACTTATATAAGTAAGTATTATATAGTAGTCTTATTGCTCTTTTCCAAACAAGAGTTTTTAAATCCTGATCCCATGGAAAATGATAAAAAATTTATAGTGGTTTTTGTGCACATGGATGTAACAGCTCCGAGCTACGTGCATTTCCAAATTGCATTTCTGCGGGGTCTTAAAAAATAAAATTATATGAGTTATATATTTAAATAACGATCCTCATACTGCTATGTTTGCAGCATATTCCGATGGTCATTTGTTGGTATTCTCGGAGACTCATCTGGATATATTCAACACACAAACCTCTGAGTGGGTTCAATCTATTGGTATAAAACAGTCACTTCCTCTGAATAATATAGGCAATGTTGTTTTAACATCTATCAATGATACACCTTTGATTATATACTTGGCAAATATTCATACAAGTAAGTAGTATATTATGATACATTTCTATTGGTTAGTTTTACTTATTCATTTGAAATAGTCGGATTCACTTGACTGCAACATTCTTATATCCTCAACATTATTCAAATTAAAATTAACTTGTTTTTCCTTACAGAGGGACAATTGCACCATCATGATGGAGACCAAAAAGGAGTCGGTAACATTAAACGCAGATTTTCTCTTAGAGAAATAAACAAAACAGTTAAAAGGTAAGTACTGAAAATATGCTTAAGTTTTAAGTAAAGGAATGGCTGTCGAAGTTTTGCTTCGCGGAATCGAAAGCTATTGGATGATGTTTTGCTTTTGAGGGTCTCTGCAATATTATTTTCTTGTAACTCTTAGTTAGTTATTTTAAAAAACAACAGATAGTCTATATCTATGAAAATGTTAGTTTGTACTTTTAAAATAATTTCAGTGATCGAAGATCAAAAATGATATCTGGTCCAACTAATTTCAACCACATTTCTCATATGGGACCTGGAGACGGTATTCAAAATCAACGATTATTAGACTTACCAACCACTTTGGAGACAGCCGAACACACAAGTAAACAGCTCATAACTTCGTTAAATTCCGTGAACCAAATAAGAAAAAGTAACTTACTGGATCAAGGTATGTATTATAAATATGTGTACTCATTTGATATTTAAAAACTATATAATTATATTGTTGATGGTTTGCCGATCTTTGGCTTGAAGGTATACTTTAGCTCAGAATCGTAGCTAAATAAATACTATAATTTAATATAAATTAATATTGTTAACCCATTAAGAGAAACCTGTATTTCCCAGCTGACGGTAACTCTGAGGATTTCGGTAAGGATAACATGCTGTCTAGGACTCCCAGCCCAATACGCACGTTACGTTCTGATGACCTAAACAATATTGATTAACATGTAATAGGTACATTAAATTAAATGATTGCCGAATAAAATTGAATAAAATTAAACTAATGTGATGTTTGTAACATAATTTTCTTACAGATTATGCGTGAGTAAAATCAATTTTTCGATATTTTGAAACTAAATTTACCATGTATCCCTTGAATATATATGATTCGGATAAATATAGAAGACATTATCGATTCCATAAGCCAGAGATTTAAAGCCAAACTACTTTCTCTGAATGGTAATTGATTCGACAAGAACGTTTATTACCTATAAGAATCGATAGCGTCACTTGCCGTATTAAAGAAAAATAACGATTTTGTTTGGGAGCAAGCTTAATTTTAGTTCGATCGGTTGCAAACTTCTTTTTAAAGCTCACAATAAAATAAAGTAAGCTCTCTTCGCTCTAACTCTGGCACCTTTTAAGCGCATTAGCCTGTTGTATTTGTATGATAAACTCGTCTTCCGTATGGTATAGGAGAATACATATTTAAATTCAATATGCAATTTATTTTAATCTTTTTTAACGTTATCTTTATTAAAATATATATATTTATATATATAGTACAAATAATTTTCTTAGTAACTAAGTCTTTGGGTTAAAAACTACAATTTGGTAGTGCTAATTCTAATGGTAGTTATTTTTTGTTCTCAGAAGTGAAAAAGCATGTTATGATACTTAGGATAGTTTTTAAATATTCTTAAGACAAATTCCTGCTAATAGCAAACTTAACGACAAATGTGCCAAAGATTTGGAACCGTTTGAATTTAATTGAATGCTATCGATTAAAAGGTTGTACGTGCAACTGCTGGGTGGTTTAACAAATGACGTGAAGTTGGGATAACGTATTATCTCGGAGGGCTGTAATTGGAAAATTAATTATATTCTATAGTGTTTTTTTTTTTATAAGAACTTGACTTACGATTGACATCGACTCGTTGGAAACACGACAAAAAGTCATATGTTTCCCTGTTATCATAGCATGCTCCACCCGTTTTGTGAATAACGGCTCTGACCAAGGTAGCTGATTTATATGTGAAAGGAACGTGCGATCATGAAACTCTACCGGATCCGAAATCAGCAGTTTGTCTAAAAGAAGGTAAAAAAAAAAGAGAAAAATTAGTTATATGTAGCTAAATATACAATAATCATTTAATTTATTTTGAAATTGCCAATGGAGAAAAAGGCGAAATATTTATTTAAACACAGACTCTAAACGAGATTCTTGTTAAATAAATAATAAAAAAAAAAATAAACCAATCTCTTTGATAAAGACTGTGTTAAGTTGAGAGACTAGATTTATAATTAGAATAGAACGATAATTAATACTGATCAAGAATATATAGATTCATTATAATGTCTGAGAAATCATTCCAGTACATTTGAAGTCCTATTCAATATAAAACATAAAAGATCACATACTTAATAAAGATCCTTCGACGACTATGTCTTCAGCGCTCATATTGGTTTGGTTAGGCTTTGTTTTCGCATATACAGTATTTGGCATGTAATCTAAGAGATTTCCGTTGTATAAAAATAAATTTTCCACGTCAGTCATATTTAATGAATAGAACTGATTAACTCCAAACATCTCAAAAAATTCACGCACTGGCGTCATGCTGTAACAACCGGCCAATTCGATTTTCGGATAATATGTGATAAAAGACAAACACATTTCATGTTTAGTCGAGTATCCACCGAATGTGGCCCTTTTACGGTGCGTCGTATCATAGGCGCAGTCTGTAATAAGAAAATCTCCAGGCAGAACAACCGTCTCGTTAGCCAGCTGGTGAAATTGCTGATATTTATAATCATAGTTATCATCTTCAATGATGCGTTGTAATTCCTTGCCCCCTCGAATATGGCGCAGGCTCATTTTGCGACCAGCGCGGTGCGTATGAAGAGTACCAGATATAATTTTAATGCCATCCTCGGGAAACAACTGAAATCATTATTTGTTAGATACATAAGACTTTGTAAGGACGTTTACAACTTACTACATTTGAACATGAAGGTCCACAAATACCAACATTACGGTACAGCTTTTGTCCAGGAGGAATAATTTGGGTGTCGGAAATAGAAACTCCGCTGATTATGATACCCCCATCGTTAGCACGTAGTTGAGGTGTATAGTGAATTCGAAATCCGGAATGATCTACGGCTGTAGACAATTTCATAGACACATATTTAAATGCAAAACATTCCTATTGCGTTTGAGGTGCTGGCTTACCGCGCAAAGCCTTTGGATTATCATAGTGTATTTCGAGCATATAATACTTGACGCCCGAGGAGCCACCAATTGGTATGCCAACATGGTGCGGCAAAAATTGGCCTGTAGAGCCGATAGACCAAACGGCCACTGGTGTGGAACAAGAATCCCAATCCCGGGGCGTCAACGAGTTGCTGTTGCATACAGTGCCAGTACTTCTTACCCAAACGTCCCACGACTCGGAATCTGAACCAGGATATGATTTCGCGGAGCATTCAAAAAGAGTCATATGATGGACAACTGTATCATCCGCTGTACTGTATATAATGTATTTATTTACATAAAGTAGACTTACGAGGTTTATATGCGCTACTCACGAAACATGGGTTAAAAGTGGCTCATAACCAATTATATGGTGTTTTCGATGCAGAATAGGAGCTCTTATTATTTTACACCAATAGAGAGTATCCATCGAAGGCTCAAGCGTCACATTACTCACAACAATGTCCCACTGGTGAGTAACCGGATTGTTTGTCTTATTTTGTTTTCGAAAAACTGGATTCATTAAAAGCAGTGGCTTAGCACCACGATTCTGACCATGTCCCTCTAAATTACCATGTATCGGATCGATTTTGCCGAAAGACCACAAAACTTTAATTGTGTCATGCTTAAATATAATAAATTAAAATAAATTGAGTTGACAACGTTTTGAGATAATATACATACGCCCAATGGAATATCGTAGGGATCACACGTTTCAAGCAGACGCTTAAATGCGACAAAAGTATGCGTGTCATTTTGGTGGCCATCGATAACGTTGTAGTTTTGCGTATCATCCTGTATAGGTGCTCCATGCGCATGTTGTATTGAGCCATGACAATCCTATGCAAAAAATAATGTTTCTCCTTATCAATAGGAATAACTTGGGCAGATATTATTAAAGTCAATTTAAAATCTTGTTACAACTATAGAAAGATTTTCAGGTTCTGCATCTCAAAGCAACTTTTTATGGTGGGACTTAGCCTAACGTGTACATCCACTTTTGGATTTAGAGTTCTAACTATACATATCAAACAATCAGAAGATTCACTCAACTTAGTGGGCTATCTTCTTGAAACTATGCAAAAGTCCCTATTTCGGTTACAGGGACTACAGGTTGCAGGGATTACCATAATCGGAAAAAAATTAAGTTTTTATAGGCAGAACTAGAAAAGTATATTTTTGTATGATATTTTCGTCATTTATACAATTTAATTAAATGCAATAGGAACAATCGATCGATATCTTGAACAATCCCGGCATTTGCCAATTTAAATTATGCTGCCTATAATTGAGGCGAATCCTATCAAGATCTACTACTATATTATAAAGCTCCAAATCTGCAAAGGCAATAAATACTCGGCACACCAAAGATAAACCTACATATTTGTGTTATTTTTAATAAGTTATACTACCTTTAAGCATTTAATAGGCAAAGTACATATATTTTTTGGCTAAACCTTAAGCAAGCGAGCTCGTAGATCAAGCTGCTGCTGGTGTTAGTCCCGTTTTAGGCTATTAATATTACTATTAGTAGCATTTTATCTACTTGTTATGCAATGTTCATTTTACTTACGAGTGCGTTTGCTTTTCCAGTCTCATCGTCGACCCATAACAATACCATATCCGCACTGTACATGCGGCCGTCTTTTTGTGAAAATCCAAGGCCAATAAAGCCACGCGTATTTACAGTTACCTTAAAGTAAATATAATTTTCCTTGATCTGCCACTCGAGCCAGTACAAGCCATTCCTGTCCATCATTTCAAGTCTCTGCCAGTTCTGATGCCGGACAGATGCGTGTGAAGCGGAATCCCTACGATCCTCATAGCTATAATGCGCACAGTTAACGTTTTGCCGTATGAAAACGACAATAAACCATATCCTGACGAAAATGTGCAGCAACATTTATAACCTGTTTTATATTGCTTCACTGATTTTAATTTTATATTACTGAACTTGTATGTAATCTATATTAATGTTTTTTTGTTTATCGCTTTAACGCAGGAGCTGTGCGCCTTGTGTACTGTTGCACGCCTTTTCCGCTTTAAATTGCCTTCGATACTTCGTTTATACATATACTTCCAAGGGAGGGTCATTTCACAAGCCGGCAGATGTTTCGAAGGAACTAACACACCACCTTTTCCACACAGGTATATACGATCTTCTAAAAATACATACAAATAAATACACACACACGCATACATATAGATATACATATACGCGTCGTCCTCGCTCATGATCGACGTTAAGTTAATATCGATATTTAAAGTTTCACAATGTTAGTAATATCGATATATACAAAAGATCATCAAAGCCGACAGATTCGATATTTATTGTATCGAGATGTACACAATTAATCCTAAAAATCAAATATTAAATGTTAAGAACTCGGAGATTTGTATAACTTAACATTTTTTTTTTAAAGTTACCGCTTACCATCGGTTCTATCTGAACTGTAATGGAATTCTAATATTTCTCATAACATCGATAAGTTCGATAAATCATCGCTAAACACATATCTGATCTCTGGTGAGCACTGTTCAGTTGTTATTTTGGCTCCAACTTCACCGTTGCTTTTTGTTTCTTTTTCGTGGCGCTGCTATTTTTCGGTGCACATGAGTCCACGCCTTCTATTTCGTAAAAATATCATCTCATTTTGTAAAAATTAGTAAAATGTGCTTCGCATCACCGAGCCGGCCCAGCGCGGCTTTCATTGCTCGAGAAAAGATTAAATTCCGTAACAATTTGTCAAGAGGAGCAAATAAACCAAAGCGCAAGTCGAATGGTGAGAAAAGTAAAGTTAAAAATGCGCAATTTTTGCAAACAAATTTCTCTTTTATATAAATAAGATACAAACAGATTAACAGTGATTATATTTACAATTTGAATGGGATGATTGCAGCATTTTAAGAATAATACTTATAACGTTATTGAATAATTTAAAAATTATTAACTAGTTTTATCTCGCTACAAGAAGAAATTACAAATAAGTTATTATTTTTAAGGGTAAAAAGCTAAAGTTAAAGAAAGTTTGCATAAAAATTGGCTACAATGCATGATTTGCTATTATATGGACGTACACTCATAACATACCAGAAGTTTTTTTCTCACAGTTAAAAAACGTTTCTCATTACATTAAAATACATTAATAGAAAATTCTAATTTGCAGTCACTGAGCCCAGGGTCTGTGGTTGGGGCATCCGAGGTCGTATCATCATAGTTGCTTTTTTCAAAGTGTAGTCCCAGCCCCGCCAACGAAACCATACAATTCCCTGCCGGGCAGTCAGGTCTTGAGGATCATGCAGATAAAGTCCGTTTAATCCACGACCACATGACTTCCACCACCAGCCGCCCTGCAAAACAAAACAAACAAACAAGTAAGTTGTTAACTTTACAAAAGTAAAATTGAAAGTGATTTTAAAACCTTACCTTTAGCATACTTGCACAGTTGAGTGAGCTTCGATCATTATCTTTGTTGTATGTTGAGAATGGGCTATTGTTGGAGCCATACCATGGATCATTTAATGAATCACCAGCATTTCCTTCGTATCCATCGATTTCCAGCTTATAATAATCAGCCTCCGAGTGTATTTTAAAATGCGAATATTGTGCAAATCTTAAAATAGAAACATAAAAACATTTTAATTGATATTAAGATTTAATTAAGTAATCCTTTCAAGCTAGGTTCGTTTTCCTAAGAAGATAATTATTATTTAATTTGGAAAATGCTTACTTTTTTTGTTAATAGTTTTAAACCAAATGTTGAATGCATGTGATAGACTAAGGAAATTAATACTCACCGCTTGTTACCTTCGAAATCTTCTAGTTCTACCCGCAATGCATAGTCTTCATTATTTGTCAGCATATAAATATTTTCGTTGCCTAACCAAAACTCTTTTGCAGGCTCGCCAAATCCATTTTTATAGTCCGCCCAATCGCGGTTGAAGTTTTCACGCGGCTCTCCAAAATCATCCCGCCGTTGAATCACCTGCGATTAAAGTAATTTATTGAATTATTTTATTTTATAAAAATGAAAATAGTACATTACCGTCCAGCCACCATCGGAGATACCCTGCTCACAATACACCTTTAAGAACCAATATGTTGTTCCACGAATTTGTAGGTAAAATACTCCAGACTGTTTCATGCCAGCATTTAAGATATCTACACAAGAGAAACCCTAGGAAAAGAATTTGTTTTATTAGTTAAATGAATTAATTTTTGTAACTATCTACTATTAATTTAAAAATTGTATCTTTTAATATGTATAGCTTACAGTTATATCATAACTTCGAACTTTGAATGAATAACGTTACTAAAAAATGCATTTACGTGACAGGTCCTGTTAAGTGGATGTCGATCACATCTCCACCAGACGAATTAACATCAAATGAACTAGGGGAAGGTAACCAAGAATGCCAAGAATATGGAAGATGAATTCATACCATTGGAAGATGCCAATCAACAACAGTAAAAGTCATTATGTCGTGCTTTACAATGCTGACCAATACAAGGTACTCCTGTGAACGCTTGAACGAAAGTTGTGTTCTATATTTTTCATTCTATGTCCTAGTTGGCGACAATTGAAGGCGGAGACAGTGGAAACAGCGGAAAAGTTTGGCCAGACCGCAGATCCTAACTTACTGGCAGTACCCACATCGGAAGAAGGTCCGCTGTTTGTTTACGGGCCGCTGATACCCATCACCGAGGGTCCGACGCCGCCGCCTATCAGCGAGGTCAAGTCTATGGACTACATCTAACAAATACGAGCCGAAACGCCTCAGTAAAACGCAGACGGCTTTACTTCCACATTGGTATGCCAGCTGCTGCAGTGCCTGCGTGGGCCTTTAGCAGGACAATGGAACAAAAATTACAGTTTAAAACTATCAGAGCACAGAACGCTTATTAGCCATTGTTAAACAAACGTTTCTCCTGTAGAAATGCATAATTTCCATGTAATCTAATTCTATTTATACAATTATATTAAAAGAAAACATAGTTTCCTTCCTCTTATCCTCACACAGCAATATAGAAATAGAAATTCGAAAATTATTTCACATCCAACAGCTCTTTTAGCCACCCCTCTCCCTCTGTGGTTCCTAGATGACCCACATATCTTTGGTTTTACCATACCATTGATAGAGTCCTGGGAACCTATAGTTCCAAATCCCAGCAAAATTTGCTTTATCCACATTTAAACGATTGCAAAATACCATTGTAGTGGCCGTTAGCTCTCATTTTAAAATCAAAATTCAGCTGAACTACCAGGCGAACAGAAATGCCCAGCAGGTAGATTCACAGAAAAATTTAGTTTAACAGTTGACTGTTAATCAGCAGCTGTTATTTAACAGTTGACTGTTAACCAGCGGCTGCAGCTGTTAATTAACATAGCCCTGTTAACGGCCGCTGCTCAGAAGGGGGCGTTAGATTTGAACGGAAATTTGGCAAAAATACCAGGCGAACAGAAATGCCCAGCAGGTAGACGAACTAAAATTTTTGTGAATCAAAAATTTCATTGCATACCCAAACGGGGCGGGCGGAGGAGCAGCTGGTTGCTTAAGTTTTAATGAAAATTCGGAGGAAGTACCAGGCGAACAGAAATGCCCAGTAGGCAGACGAACTAAAATTTTTGTTCCCAACAGTCAACTGCTAAATTAATGATCACAAATTCTAATGGCCTTAAGCTGCAGCAATGTAAAAAGGGGACTGAAAGCATGAAGTATGCGCATTTTTCAGGGATTTCGTTCTTTAGGTTCACCAGGACTATATCAATGGTATGGAATAACCAAGGATATATGGGTCAACTAGGTACCATCGAGGGAGGTGGGGTTGTTTGTTGGGGGCGGCTAAAATTAAAGGCATTCATATTTTTTGACCATTTCGGTTATTTAGGTTCACCAGGACTATATCTTTGGCATGGTAAGACCAAGGATATATGGGTTATCTAGGAACCATCGGTTTTTAATTGTCTGTTGGCAGCTATGGCAAAAGAACAAAAAAAATACTGCAAGTGTTCTTTTCAATAACTTTATATGTTCATATACCGGTCAAATAAAGCCCGATCCTGGGAGGATTGGGCGCGTTGAGTTTGTGAGCGTTCATAATCGGAGTGTATTTTTCCCGAGATATTTCAATTCTAAAATTATCGGAAAACTTTAAGTGGCCTTATCTTGGCTATAATGGGCGCGTTAAATGGAACTTATCCTAAAAGTGTAGAATAGGAAATAAAAAAGACGAAGGTCCTTCAAGTAGTTGAGATATACTTTTTTTATGAAGCAAATAGCGCATAGCTCGGCTGCATCCTTGCGTATCCTAGCCAAGTCCTGCGAGGCTATCAGCTGGCCAAAGACCAGCAAAATCGTCTTTGTAGCTTCCGTGATATCAAGGATTGTGTTTAATTTTACAAGTCCTGAATCCTTAGATGACCTCAAATGTGTTTGTGTCGAAATCAAGGATCCACGTGGTTTACAAAACGACAGTCAAACTAGTTACCGGTTGCTTTACATGATTACAGACTTGGGTTTTATGAAATATATCTTCATATGTCGATATCACGCATGATGATTAAAACTTTCGACGCTTTGGGGCGATATCAATTTTCCGTAATGTCGTTTCTGCCGCTTACGAGCTGCAAGCGATTGTCCCATTTGATCTTAGTATTGCATCTTCACCTCGGCGGCTTCGCGAATATCATCGCAGTGCTGCCTAGAATTTGGCAAACAGGAGTCGCCAATCGCTGCAGGCTCCAATATGCACTTGGACGCATCTATGCCGTTGAGGATACCATTGACCGCATGTTTTTCACATGCAAGTGCTGCTCCTTAATATGGCGCGTAGTTCGTCTTTCCGTCTCCCAATCAATTCAGAATATTTAATAATTAGCGCGATGCCAAAACTGAGATGTAAAACTCTGCCTTTTTTTTGATTTGATCAACACTTCCTTCATTTTTTGTATTTTTAAGACGTCTGAATTAAGTTGTGTACCGCAGAAATCTTTTCCAAAATGTGGAATTCATATCGATGCCATCGATAATATTATTCATCAGATATCGATAGTAGTTGTTACTTATGGTATTTTATAACATTGGATTATTTGTAGTACTTTAAACCATTGACTTATTTTTACTATTTACATAACATTGGTTGCCTGTCGGTCTTTCTAAGTGTGATATTTTCTACAGTTGTGATAATTTTTGTCACATGCGAGTACTGATAGATCTACTGAATAGAAATAATGTATTTTATATCTTAAGAAGTCATTCTCGCGCCACTTCTAACTCGTTGGTTTTTTTGAATCTCACAGTATTTTTTTTGTAAAGAAATATTTCCCACATTGCTAACGGCGGTCACACTTATACATTTTCTCGAGTAAATAAATTGAATATTAATGTTGTTTGCAACAATATGCTCGCTTATAATTATTTTGAGATTTTCGGCGTGCGAAGACCAAAGTGTCGATGTCAAAAAAACTCTTGTTTGGGGGCCAGGACTAAAACCTGACGACATTGTCTTGCCTGCAAGATATTTTTTTATCCATGCCGTCGACAAGACTGGGAAAAAGTAAACAATAATAATTAAGATTAAATGCTGAAGGGAAATATAATTGGTTTCTGTTTGTATTTACAGATTTGCGTCCCGTACGTATTTAAAATTTCAAGTGCACATAAATGGACATTCTCCACATGGAAAATGTCGGTATAATATTAACCAAATTGATCGTGAAGACGGGTCCACCATTGTTCGTTACACTATTGCCGATTGGTGCGAGAATGTTGAGATTAATGTGCAATATAATGGCTCGCATGTGGCACATTCCCCTTATCTGGTTCAGAACAAGGTCTACTCGGAGCGCTGCTACTGTCCGCAGGAGCTCAATCTTTGGCTGTTAAAAAATGACTGTGCCGCTTTCGAAGATGACAGACAGATATCCTGGGACTTGCACTCATTTAAGCGTGTGAACTTCAGTGCCATACGTGACAATTTGTTAAAAAGATATAATGCTCCAGAGAGTATTTCTTTGTGCCACTATGTGGTAAAAAACCAACAAATTTGGAGAAACTGCTATGGAAAATATACTGGCTTCAAGATGTTTATGGATGCGACGTTGTCTGCACTGTCTCGCGTGGTTTTCCTGCCTGATATGGAATTTTATTTAAATCTTGGCGACTGGCCGCTATCGAAAAAAGGCGGTCAGCAAAGGACATCGGGGCCATACCCAATATTTTCATGGTGTGGAAGTGACGACACCTACGACATAACATTGCCTACGTATGATATTACCGAGTCCACAATAGAGAATATGGGACGGGTTATGTTGGATATGTTATCTGTGCAAAAGGACGAATATTCATGGGAAAATAAAGAAGAAAAGGCTTTCTTTCGCGGCAGGGATTCGCGACGAGAAAGGTTGGATCTGATTGATCTGGCAAGAAAATATCCCGATGTAATCAACGCGTCTATAACAAATTTCTTTTTCTTTCGCAATGAAGAGGATAAATACGGTCCCAAGGTACCGCATATATCCTTCATGGATTTCTTTAAGGTAAGTTTGTAATATAGATATAAATATTGATTTTAACACTCATCATATTTTTAGTACAAATATCAGTTAAACATTGATGGAGCTGTTGCGGCATATCGATTACCCTATTTACTTGCAGGCGGATCTTTAGTTTTAAAACAAGATTCACCTTATTACGAACATTTTTATAGTAAATTGGTACCATATAAGCATTTTGTGCCTATCAAGCGTGATCTCAGCGACGTAATCGAAAAAATAGCTTGGGCTAAAGAAAATGATGCCCGTGTTAAGGAAATCGTATCAAATGCACGAGCATTCGTCGAAGCAAATCTTTTACCACAACATATTTATTGTTATCACATGATATTATTTAAGGAGTGGAGCAATCGTTTAGTGGCCCCAATAGATGTGCTTCAGGGTATGGAAAAACTAAATTCGAGTTATACATGCTCTTGCAAACAAAAACAGTTTAAAGATGAACTTTAGACTTTGATCTTTTTGTACTTTTATCTATCATATTAAGTAGTAAAAATATTAATTAATAATCTTTAATCGTTTTAATGGGCTTGGTCGACTTGTGCTGGGAAATACATCAGATTGCCAAGTTGGGTAAAAAGGGCAGAAAAAGGAGCTTGATGAAATGATTGATGTGTTCTTATTATCAAATCGAGAACGGCTTGAGTTGACAACAAAGACATTCAAATGTTTTAGCGATTATGTATGCAACAAAAAATGTATTTACCTTAACGTCCTTTAGTGTAAATATATCATTGGTAAATGTGTTATTTACTACTGCTGGTTTGTTCTTGACACTCGGAAAGATAATGCCGCCTTTCCGAACAACTGATTTTGTTGGTGTTGTATTCCACGTAGAAGAAGAAGAAGCAGTGACTGGTGTTGCATTGACCATAATGCCTAGTATATTATTGATATTTGTGCTCGAAGAAGTAGATTGACTGTTCATAGCACTCGTAGGCGTGCCCAATGTTGGGTAAATAGCTGTTGACGTATTATATTTCATAGAAGATTGTGTCGCTGACGAAGGCGTTGTGGTTGGCTCATTTAAATCAGTCAAGCTTTCATCAATAACAGAGTACCTGAATGAAATTGAACAACTCTTAATTTATATAAAGTATAGTAGAGCATATAAATCGTACCTGCTTGGATCGTACTCCACCAGACGATCAATAGTTGGGTCTCCTAAAAGTTCACTGGGCCCTGGTCGCTGTGCAAGTATTTGAACATCATCCTCTTGTTTTTTTAATCGTTTTTCAACCATATCTAAGTTGTTGATTATCAAATTGGTTTTCGTTTTTAGATCCTGGTGTATTTCTCCAATTGCTCGTTCTTGCCGCTGAGTTTGTGTGAGAAGTGCATCCGATTTAGGCAATAAATGATCAACAGAAGACTTAGTACCCACCACGACGTCCCACACCTCGTCCATTTTTTCGGAAACCGAAACCATTGGACGCATTTGCTTGACAAGAGCATCAATTTTACTCGACTTAATGGCTGGAAAGGCCGTTGTCGTGACATTGAATCCGTTTAATTGCTCATGATGATCGACAACAGCGTCATGAATGTCGTTAATCATACGCAGCATACGGCCTATATTTTCCGACTCAATATTTATGTGAAACTGCAATTTTTTGTCAATGTTTTCAGTTGAATCGCGCAATTGGTTGACTTCGGCGGACACATGAGTCATAACTTCGGCTGTCATTGCTTTCGTAATTTCCACAACATTCATTGTAATAGGCTTTTTCTCACTAGCCTCTGCGTTAAATTCATCAACTTGCAAAAAGTTGTTGTCTATCTGCGTTTTCAGCACTTCAAGCTTCAGGTCAATGTCGCTGACTTTCTGATCCAACTTCACGAGCCGGCTATCGATTTGGAACGTGGAAGAGCCAGTTGTAATAGGTTTATGCATTTCACTGTCTGAACGAGCACCCGTTTCGGGCACAATGTAAACCACATTTGAAAGCTTAGAATCGAGACTACTTAGTTTCGACAGCGCCTCTTCAGTCTTTTCTACATTGTTGGTAACGCGATTCTCCAAACTTTCTATGTGCTCCATTAGATCCTCCACTGATCTGCCCAGGTTGTCGATTCGTTTTAATTTCCCCTCAAGCGTTGTGATAATTATCTCAAATATACTCAGCAATTGTTGTTCTCTAAAAGGAAAAATTGCACATTGCACATTTTCAAATCAAATCAAATTTCTTCGAATATCATATATATCAAAAACTTTCTTAAAATGTTATTATATTTAAATTCCGATTTTGTCAAATCTACAATTTGAAAAGACATAGGTAAAAATCACTGCAAAGTTCTCTTTTCGAGATGCATTGACCTACTTTTATAGGATCATAGCTCCTTTAAGGATCATCGCAAAAATATTGGATTATAAACACATTTGTTTTTGAATACTCTCGCAAAATCCACTCGTGAATGGAAATGCGGGATTACGATAGAACTGACATAGTTTGTTAACTCGCGTTCAAAGCCAAAGAGTTTGGTCAGCAAGGAAAATTACAAAAAAAAAGTTGGGTATAAGTAAAATGTTCGCCTAAGAGAAGTGTCCCTTAGGAGAGTTTTCATTGTATATTATAATGCACTTATAGTACAATGTCAAATGGATTTTGGTCTGATAAAAATATTTAATAATTTGCATTCACTTTGCTCCAAGCTGTCTTTAACAGTGTCTGTTTTTTTTTTTGTTTTATTTGTTCATTTCCCACACTCTCGGCCAGAGCAGACCGGTTTTGACTAGTTGGTGCGCAATCCAATCAACGACTCAAGCGCTTTTACGCTCATTTACGAATGTTTTTATACCCTGTACCTAATTGAGGCAGATACCAGCATTATATAGCCAAAATAAATACGACTAGCATCAACAGATGAGCCCAAATAACTTTGTCTATTTGAACGCAAGTTTCGATTTCGGAAACTGTGCTTATTTTTTTTACTAGAGAGTTAAGAAACTCTAGGCTTTAGTTAAGAGTAATCAACATTTGATTGCCAATAAATATCGAATAAAACAGACATCCCTGCAATTTATATATTGGCTATATATTTAGTATCTTTCGTCTATCGCAGACTTCTTAGAAGACTTAAAAATTAATTGGCTTTTTAGATTCTAAGGCGAAAGGGAAGAGAGGGATGACTAAAATATTTATATACTGTACATACTAATTTTATTAATTTTTGAGTTATTCATTTAAGATCAATGTTGAATTTTATTGATATATTTGTAATTGGTCGAGATTTTGCCCCGTTTGGGCATTGTATACGGAAATATATATTTAGAATTCCATTTTCTGAGATCGACGGAGAGAGAGACGAAGAGACAGACGGACATAGGCCAATCGACTCAGATTCTCTTTCTGATTAAGAATATATATACTTTCTCGTGTAAAACATACACTCTTCAGCATTTCCACAGAACCCTTCTTACTCATTTTCAATAGTTACATAATATAGTCTATAAGACGAAAGAGAGCAATAACTCGACTAGAAACTATTCTCAACTCGTTGAGCATCAGGTTTCAAAAATTTCAACCTGATTCATTTGCAAACAACATGAATTCATGCAAAAATTAATTATGAATTTAAAAATATGGCATATTAATGTATATCAAAGCGCAAGGCTCTAAACTTAACAAAAATGTTAGCGAAGGTATCCAAAGAGAAATAATTTTTAAATTTTTATATAAAGTTAATAAAACTAAGTCTTAAAATCGCTATTTATTGGTAAAGAGTCTTAGCTGCAATTTTTATTTACTCAACAAATTAAATATATTTTTACAAATTTAGTCACTCTAGCTTGAAAAACTTAAAAGATTTTATTAAGAAAACCGAATTTTGAAATCGACGCGCGGGCAACAGAAAAATTCTAAATATACAGTTCATTTGCGTTCGAGGTTCTCCGCGTTCAACAAACGGACAGAAAAGTCTAGATTGAATCGAACATTGAAAAACAGGGTATAATTATAAAGTTGTTCTGGTTGTAAGCTTCAGGTCTCTAGCTTTTGTAACTCCGGGTTCGAAGCGATCGCCACAGACCAAGAGATAGCGATACATGTGGCTTGTTTTACGCAGATCTTCGCCTTTATCGAAGGATATATATACTGTTTAGGGTATCCTGTTTGAGCTCTCATTATCCTTAATACAGGCATAATCAGGGTATCGATATAATAAATTTACGATATTCGAAAATAATTTGCAATGTCTATTTCTGCAAAAAAAACCTATTTACAAATAAGATTTACGTCTTATATCTTTTTATAATATAAACATAAATTACGGCTGTCAATGGGCAAACTTGATAGTTTAAGTGAATGTAAATCAATTGGCCTAAACGGCATTTAATCTCAAGGAGGTCCGTAATTGTGTTAATTTAAGTAAGATTCGAGAAAACGAGATGCATTCAAGTCTTAAATGAACTAGCCTGGTATACTTTTGGGAGCTAGCATAGATATTAAATGTTCGAGCATTATAAGTATATTTTTAACTAGTTGGCTGTTAACAAAATGAATTACATAAAATTACAAACGGCGAATTGTAGTAGATACTGGTAGGCACACAAGTATGTATTTCCACATGTAATGACTTATATTAGCTTTTTTTTTCTTTTCGTTTTTCATTCATATTAGTATGTGCCTATAAAAACTTCAGTTAACCAGTGTGCAAAAAACCAGTTTGTTGCCGCAATCTTTTGTTTTGATCATTTGATTTCACACAAAAGCGCGCAATGTACATAAGTTTATGAACAAAGCTGTGTAGAAAATGTGTTTACATTGCATCTATATATGTATATATATACGTATTTAGATATACATAGGTAATATATATGTAGATAATCAAAAATTATAAAACCTTACCTCGTTCGCAAGTTTCCATTACGCGTCGAGTTTAATGTCTTTGCAGCAAGCTTAAAGCTTGCCGCAGCGGTAGCCCCGCTGTTTATTTGGCTAGCACTAGTTCGCGGCAGCGCTAGGCGTAAATTCGAATTCGAATTCGCATTTACCGCAGCGTTGCGCGCCGTACCGCCAGCGGAGTGAGTGGCTGCGAATGTGCCCGACTGTGTATAGCTCGATAATACGATATTTGCGATCAAGAGTACGACTGTAAAAGACAGCCGGCCCCTGAATCGTTTCTGCAAGGGTATCATTACGGCGAACCACAAATTCAAGCCTCTTTCTTGTATTGGCTGAATTTATTAATTATGCTTTGAACACTTTGCAATAAGGTTAATGTTTTAATATGTATATATAGATGTGCACATATATATTGGTTGAACCGCTCAATGGACTGCAAAAGAGCAGCAAAAAAAAAAAGCAGCGCATTGAAAAATCTTGTTACTATCTAGTTTGAAGTAGACCTTTGCAACAAATATTTTCTTCACATTTTCACTGTATACATACATAAATTTGTTAGCAGAGCTTTGCGCTGCAACACGTTAATACATAACGAACTGCTTTGAACAGTTAAATTTTAACACTTTTAAGCAAATCAATGGGCATACTTTTCAAAACATAAATCATTTTTATCTTCTACAAATGCAAATGTATATTTACTTATAAATAAATACGATGAATGTATACCGTTCATATTTGTGGCAAAAATAAATAAAACTTGATTATTTTGTAAACTGCGATTTGGCTATTCAAATGTTGCAAAAATAATGTACACATATATATACATTTATTTAATTACTTATTTAAATAAATATATGTATAAAATGTACCAAAAACTACATAACTTCATGTGCACATTCTCTTCTGAAAAATAGTGGCGATTTTTGCGTGTTTCATGAGGATTTTATAATATATTTATATTTTGTGTATTATTATATTTAAATGACGGTCAGCAATTATTGATAGACAATTAAATTGTAATTGATATTTAATAATTCACAACCGAACATATCCGTAGGTGAAACTTTTCTGTACCCGAGACGTGCTTAGATCTCGATTTGTCTGAGATACAATGCAGCTCGCTGAAAGTTCGGCCCTAATTAACGGAACAGCAACTAGCAGCTTTACAACATATAGAGAAACTCACCACGCAGAGAGCAAAAGTGGAACTCGTTTTCTGGGTCTAACGAAAGTGAGAGTGGTTATGATGCATTTGTATGTACTTGTATGCTTGTTTGCCGTTTAGCTGCTCTAAAAGCGTGTGAATGCTCGCTCTGCAGCTATATACAAGAAATTATACTTTTAAGCAAATACCATATATACGTGTACATATTACATATTACTGTAAACTGCAGCACAACATATATTTATTCTGCAATTGCCATTTTCAGCTACGTGGTATCCATTGTGGCCATTGCATACCTGTGCATATATGTTGTAGCAAATGTTTATATTGATTTTAATTGACTAAAAGTTTCCACAGTATGCAATATTAAACTGTTTGGTTATTTACCATTTGCACTATTTGAACTGTAATATAATTTATTATTTATTTACATACGTTTCATCGCATTTTGTTGCATACTTTTGTAAACTTCATGCTCTACTCGCACTTACTGAGCTTCGTTTGATGTAAGCCGTAAGGTATGCAGTGTGGAGGAGGAAATATGAGCTTTACGTAATGTGATCGCGACGATCTTGGAAGCCACAAAAGCTGTTTTCCTATTCCATCCGCAGCGCTAATTTGAAATAATTTGATATTTCCTTCCATATCCCTTATATCGAAAAATATATGGGGAGACAAGGTTTATATGAACAACTCGGAAAGTATACCCAAAACTTGTACATAATAAAGTTTACAAATATTTCCTCTTTTTGATGCCTCCCACTATTCCACACAAAATTAAAAAATTAATTTGAATTTGTACTAACTTTAGGCGTGCTTACGTGTGTCTATATGCAGGTGTATTTGTTGTATGCATGCATCGAAAGAAGCTAGAAGGTTTGTAACGGCAGTTACAGGGTATCTTCAAGTAGGGCACTCGAGACTGTTAAATGAATGAAAATTGGTAAAAATTAGTTGATAAGTTATAATTTATGTTACAGGCAGATAGAAGCAACTGGGAACCCATAGAGCTAATATATCCTTGATTATCATCAATAGACGACTCGATCTAGCCATGTCCGTCTGTCTGTCCATATATGGAAATACTTCGATCCCAGAACCTTTAAAAGCTACAGAAATTATAAAAGAAGATTCTCATCGTTTCATTGCAGTATGAGTTTGTTTCGATAATCTGTATCCAAATTCTGTTTAAACGATAACAAAGTGGAGGAACTGATAAAATCTAGAAAAAAGACACTACTTATCCACTTTAAATTCTCAGATAGTATCCCGGTTCCGGACCCAGACGTACCCGCTCTACATGAGACGAAATCCTTATCCTTGTCTTCCTCAGATTGTTCACTTAGTGCAGCTAAATCCCGACTAAGGCCTGTGTCGGCAGTCATGGCTCCTCTCCTCCTTTAACGTACATTTAGCCGGAATTTTTTATTCAGTTAGTGCGTTATCCTTATAACTAATATCCATTATCCTTAAATACTATAAAAAAATATTAATTCTTCGCAGATAATACCAATTTTCTACATTGTAATTTAGTTTTTAACTTTATTATTCGTGTCAACGAACTTGAGTAAAACCTCGATTCCTTTGGAACTGAAAGAAAGCTAAAATCGTATTACCCATTTATTTAAACAGTTCCATTTACATTATTTGTATGTACATAAGGTTTTTTATTATAAAATATTGTGTCATTTTAAGTATCTTTTATTATATAAAATTTTTTTGTGTCTCATTGGATTTTATGTTCAAAAATTTATTTCCTGGATTTTTTCTTTTTCTTTAAGATTTTCTTTTTTTTGCTTTTTACATCCTTTTGCTTTTCACTTCTTACTGATTCGGTTGACGAACATTTTTTTAAACTTTTAAGTTTCTTAATTTTTTTATCCTTTCGTTTTTTATATTCAACTGGATCCGTTGTTGGAGGTGTTACATCTTTGATTAGGCTATCGAATTTTGGAACTTTATTACTACACGAATTATTTTCATCAAATTTTCTAAAAGGGTTGTCCGGTCGACAGGGTCTTGACGCAATCGACGAAATAAGACGCGGTTCCACTGATTTAAAATGCGTATGAGTATTACGATCTGCATCATATTTTTTTCGCTCACTTCTTGTATTTTTTGAGGTCAGCTTGTCCTTGAATTGTGGCTTGTTTTTGTGACTCTCCGAAAAGTGGGATTCTTTTTGGGTTGTATTTCCGAAGTCACGATCATGAGAGGAGCGATTTCTATGGTCATCAAATTTTCGTTCTGCTGTTACCACGCGCTCTTTTGAATCCTTCTCCTTTTTTCTCGAATTATAGCTTGTAGAATTATATTTGTATTTTTCATCATTTACATTTTTCACAGAGCTATCTCTTCGATAATTCTTAGATCGTTCTGACGAGTAATTTCGTTCACTTACAACTTTGTTGCCTAATCTTTCTTTAACGGATTTATTTAAAGATTTCGGGGAATGCGAGCGATCTTTATGATTACTTTTGTAAGAAAGGGAAGGATCTTTACTGCTATGCTTAGAGTCTATTACTACCTTAAACTCAACAGGTCTAATAGCATTTATAGCTTTTGCGAAAATTGCGTTTTCTGCCTTGCGAATAACATCAGATGTTATTTCTGAATGCTCTTGAATTTTATTAGATCCCATTTTTTTACACGGATCCAATAAATTATTAATCAAATTATTATCATCCATTTCCCATTTTGATATTTGGACATCATTTGCTTCAGAAATGTTGCTTGACATATTTTCTCTGTTTAAATCCTGATCCGAACTTTCCATATTTACAATAGTTTCTTTCCTATGTAACGCATTTTGATCAATGGCATCGGATATCTTCGGATTCAGATTATTTGAGCCATTTTCCATGCTATCGCAAGCATCCATATTTAAATCTAAGCCAGAACCTTTTTCTGGTGTGGGCTCAACGCCTTCCAAATAGCCTTTTTTGTTTTTGTCCTTTTTGTCCCTCTTCTCTTTTTTATTCTTCTTGCGCTCTGATTTATCCTTTTTCTTCTTTTTTCGCTCTTTAAGATTAAGTTTGATGTTATTTTCTTTTTCCATATTGTTAATGGACTCCAAATGATCTTGTGACTGCACAGCAATTTTATTTTTATCCGGACTGTACAATTGGGTACTCTGGTATTTTTCAATTCTTTTTGAATCGTCTCTTCTATCTGGTGTTTTTGGAGAGCCTTCATATGTTTCTGTACATTCAGTTCTAGCAACTTTGGGAGTCTTACTCTTTGCCGGTGGCGTTAGGCTTCTAGAAGTATTATCAACTGCTTTGACATCGACGTTCTTACTATAATGCCTTTGTCTTTTAAGAGAAGTATTTTCATCTTTTACACTTTTATCGATATCCATATTTTCCGTCTTATTATTAATGTTAACGTCATTGTCAGCTAAACTCTCTATTTGCAACGATTCAAACCCAGGAGGTGGAGGCTCAACGGTTTCTGTTTTGGTTCCGTATGGTTTGCTCACAGATTTTTCTACTGTACGAGGTTTGTATCCGGGTCTTGGAGAAGGTGAACGATGGTGTACATATCTGTAAAAGAAAATTAAAATAAATTAAGTTTAAATAAAACTAGAAAATCTTTACAAGACATCCGACCACAATATTTTGAAGTGCTCGTTTTGGCTTTACTTAGTTATGTACAAATTTTAAGCTAAGCCGAAAAAATATGGGAGATACAAGGCAGTAAGGATTCTCCTACACTTTATTATATATATATATATATATATATATATATATATGTGAGAAGAATATGCAATGAGTAAACCTTTCCCACTATTTACTCTCTATTTATATGGAGACATAAATTTGTTCAATGAATAAAAAAGATGTTCAGAAACAGAAGATATGGATTTGTGGCTATAATGCAATTGTTTATAATGCCTTAGTATTAAAATCGACTAGTCGTTCTTAATTTTTTGTTTTGATTGCCTTATTCAACTATTTTTAATGAATTGGGGTATACAAAATTAACCAATCATGATTGTCATGTGCGTACAAGATTCTTGTAAAAATCCACTTGATGGCAACTGAAAACTATTGTTTGATAGCGAGTATTCCAGTCTTAGTCATCTTTGAGATAAAAATTAAATCCAATTAGAAAAGAACAACAAATCGAGACAAGTTGCATCTAAAGAAAGCAATACGAACAGTCTTCCGTCTTCAGTCTTCTTTCTATGATACCTCTTTTCATGATTGATTATAAATTCGATTTTGTTTGTTCTACATACTAGCACTTAAAATCTTAGCATACATTCCGTTTTACCAAATGGGAACATTACTTCGTTTTTTCAGTCTCGTTTACGATTTCGTGATGTTTATTTTCGATAATCAAGTTTAAATGAGTCTATCTACAAAAATATTATTTTTAGAGTATACGCTGAACTTAGTTAGAGGTCCTCATATAACCCGCGAAATATGAGCCTGTTTCAAAGCAGCCAGAACTTGCCCACATAACCAAGCAGGCTTTTGAGAACATCTCCTAGATTATGAGTCACTAAACTTCCCATGTAGCTTATCGTATAATATTCAACTTTATGACCCCTCCCCATTCCGCAAAATTAAATATATGAAAATTTCAAAAATTTTAAGTTAACTTAAATGAAACGATCGGACGGACCCGTTTTTACCAATTTATAACTTTAAAACAGATTTGTCCCGCATTTTACCAGCCAGTCAGGCAGTTATATAGATATAGATATAGATAAATAGTTATAAACGTAAATATAGATGAAAAGACGCCAAAACGCCTAGGGATAAATAATTGTAATAATAATATAGTTTTTTATAATAATAAGTAGAACTAATTGCAACGGCCTGAAAAGCCAGCAAAAATAAAATTCGGAAAGAAAAAAATAATTGTTATTCCTTATAAAGAGAGTCAGAATTACTAAGTGACTAAGGCAATTGTGGGAATAAAGTTCTATTAGATCATGCACCTTACACTCCATGCAAATCAGATATCTTCATTGCAAACTATTTAAGATAAAGAACGGACGGATCGGATAAATATGTTTTTAACCCTGCGGGAGGATTTTTTCAAATACAAAATGAAGCTTTCCCGTTCTTTATTTCAGAAAAAGAGCGTTTAGACGGACAAGAATCAAATAATCTGTTTACTTTGTAAACTACTCAAACGATATTAGCACTCTATCTGATTAATTACATTTAAAAGAGAACATTGTTTATTAAAAAAATATATATATATCATATGATCTTTGTCAGTGAGTTTTAAGCCGATGATAAATAAAAAAGTTGTATATTTTCCTTCTAATTTTCCGAATTGCGGATGGAATTTGCAAAATCGCTGAAACACGTATTCATTATGTACTTATAAAGGGATTTGAAATTAAGTATGAAGCAAATCGAGGGTTCTGGAAATGATTTTTGGTAAAGCACATTGGAAATGAATTTGAACGCGAAACTTCACTCACCAAATCTTTGACGCCTATTAATATCAGGGAGGAATAGATTTTCCGAAAAGTATGAAACACGTTTTAAATGAGCAAATTTCTTTGGAAATGAGCTATCATAAGGTATCTATTGTTGGTATTACCATGTTATTTATAAAGATATACACAGTGCAAAAATATTTTTTGTAAATCTGGCATTTGGTTCAAATCACATTATTCAAACATGTGTGTGACCTTAAAGTGAGAGAAAATGGGCTTTAGCTTGTACGCAAAACATTTAACTCCAACGAATAACTGTTTTAGGGGACCTGTTTAATGTAAACTAAATATAAGGCAGGTTCGAGGTCAATGTTGGTCAAATTCACGAACTGTTGTTGGGCCATAAGCATCAAAGTTGTCAGTACAGCTATTTCAAGAACCTTCCGGTTCTATCATCAGCGGACATTGCTACCAACTAAAGAGACTAAAAAACCAGGAATTGTTGCTCTCCAGTCCGAGGCTGTAAACATTAGAGTATTAGAGGCCAAGAGAAGGTGAAAACGTTTAGAAAACCAAATCGTAATGTTATATGTCTACCCCTGCGGTATACACTTTGTTTGGGCATTATTTAAAGACCACATTTTTCAATAGGGATTGTTTTATAGTAACACTTGAAATTGATTAAAAATTGAATTGAAGCATGACTATTAAAAATAAAAGAATTATATCAAAAGAAAAAAAAAGGGTTACTGTAGTATTATATAAAAACAAAACCTACAATTGTAAAAATCAGTAATCAGATTGAGAATTAGGTAATTAAAAGGTAATGTTTTTATTTTTGAAAACAACCAACTGTATATTAAGAGCTTAAGTTGAAGACGAATCGAATCACTTAATTCGTGTCTCCTATGAAAAATATGACCTTTAACACCATATTTTGTTTTGGTTGGGAAAATCGTATTTAATAAATAATATAAATATATATATAAGACCCTTAATTTGTAAAATAACCTCTTCTTCTTGTCGCTTGGTGAATTTGATCCGTTGCTTGAATGGCGTGTAACTCGGCTTTGTCGTCTTTCATAGCTGTATTCACGCTTTCTTTCCCGAGAACGTGCTCTCTTTTCATTGGTCATGATTTCTCTAGATGAGCCTCTATCATACACTGGTGATTTAAAACGATGACGCAGTCTTCCAGGCGATCTAGATCTGTGATGGCCAGGACTTCGACGGCGATCTACTTTAAGTTTCTCTTTTTCCTTCATTATTCTGTTAAAAGCTTCTAGTGGGTCATCTATCAGTCTGAAAACAAAGTTATATTTTTTATATTATTAGAAGAAAATCAATATATTAAATATTAATCTCTAAATTAGTAGAGTTATATATATTAATAATCTACTGTATCGGCACTTGGTATTTCCTTTTGGCAGGGGCACTCTCAGTTGCTTAGTCATCTGAGAGTCACCACGAATTAACTGGGAACACTATGATTTAACTCAGATATAGCTCTCCCCGAGACGAACTGGAGGGAAAAAGCACAAGCACAAAGCTCTATAAAATTGTAAGTTTTGTATTGTTACCCTTAGAAGGATTTGGTTGTCGAGTAATTCGTTCCGACGTTTATTAAAAGTCGCTAATTTACATCGAGAGTTAAAGCATCGATGAATCAATGTTTTTATATAGCAAATGGCAACTGATCCATTAGTCAAATGTGAGAAAACAATATAGTTTAAAAAGCAATAAGGCTTTTAGGCTTTTAGTTGCTCATCGAGGTGGTTTTTTTACTTGACTTATCCCATATCCTAATTAGGTATAAAGGCTTAGGCAAAACAAAGCATATTGTTTCAGGGTAGGAAGCGTGAAGTACGTCAGTGTTTCACGCAAGGGCTAAGCCTATACACATCGATTATAATAAACCGGTAATAAGTGGGCGAGCAAACAAACTTATACTTGTAGAAGTCGATAATTTATCAAGGACAACAAAATGAAAACATGTATACAAATTGTCATGAAACAAGTATGGTCTGTCCCTGTCTTGTTAACTTTTTCTATAATACTTTCTTTACCCTGATAATTTACTGTGCCTCGCAACAATATCAGGAACAAATTAAAACATTATAACTAAACGCGTAATGAAGAATAATTATCATTTCAATAAATTTAAAAATTATTAAAATTTGTTTATTTTACAAGGGTTAACATTTTTTCTCGTTGAATTTCGGCAACAATCGTCTAACCATCTGACCATTAACCAAATAATAATAACCAAACTGTTTTACGTGTTGGAAAACCCTTTAGGGATAACAAATTTTATAATCATATGAAAAAGATGATTTCACTTACCCTGTGCCAACCTTTGCTGCTACTCCTTGATAAATAGAAGCCAAATTCGACGATTGAAATGTTTGCGTTGGATTGATATTAATATTTCCCGTTGATATATATGATGGATTCATATGATGTACAGGTTGGTTTTGATAGTGCCCGAAGCTGCAATTTTAAAAGTATTTATGTATAAATAAACAGTAAAAACCTACGTTTACGTAATTGTTTCTAAATTCTAATTCATTTTCAACAAAAAAGAATGCTCTATCCCGCTATTCCCAACTAGTAAATACCCAAAACCCGGCACATATTACCGACAATTATTATGCAATTGTCCTTTTAAGAATATAATAATATTCGATACAGCAATACTGTTGAAAACTACGTTAAGAAGGCTTTAGTCGGAAGTACGCGGCTAGGAGATACCCGGAACCCTGTTCTACCAAATGTGTGTTATGTGTCTTTTTATTTTCTTACGTTTCGAACAGCTCAGCTTGTCAAAGCATGCCAGATTTATTTCCAATACTGATTAAGTTGACTTTAGCTGATTTAGCCCAACAAATTTATTGAAGGTTCATCAATTTAAGCTCAACATCCTAATTCCAAGCATTGCATTAAAGTACTCACTTGACTCATAGCACTCGAATTTCTGTAACACCTGCCAAATCAGCCACAGTAAAAAAATCCTTAATTAATTATTTAATACGGCTTTAAATGCGTGCACGTTTGATACACTGACGGTGGATCTAAACAATCTTTTGCTGCGCATCTCAGTTTATGTTGCACACCTGTTTTTATTGCTCGTCTTTGTCGATAAACTGCTCTGATGTTTTATGGTCATTTACTGGATTAAATTTTAGTGATCTTTCGTTTTGTGGTGAAATCCTGACCAACCTTTTCACTCTACCACACTTCAAGGCTCATCCAACTGTTTTTGCATACTTAAGCTCTTGCTTTCCCCGTCAAGATCTTAATTGTCTATGATATGACACTCTTGTCAGTTCCTTAACTTTTTCTTGTTTATAACCTGCGATTGGAATGGCAATATGTCTTCCAATAACATCAAAATACTTGACTTAGTTAAACAATTATTTTATTAAATAACTTGATATCCATATTGGCTCAAACATCCTACATAAACTTATATTTTATACTAGCCTCCATCTGTCTGTTGACATGCTGGACTAGCCTTACTCTAATGCTTATGGTTAAAAGAGAAATAGAGAAGACGAGCAAGAATAGCTCAGCATTGCTCGGGCAAAGCATTTTTTTCACTTAACTTACCTTATTGGGGGCCTGTGTGCCATATTGTTGTAACCATTATTGTATGGAGACATATGGAGGATTGTAGGACACCGGGGCATTTGAATGTATGTTGGCTTATAATGATTTATACGATGGCTCTGGTCTGGGTTGACTATAGACTTTTGTTCCCTTTGTTCGTTCATGTGATGAGTTGGATACTTATGGTGATTGCCGATTGGAGTAGGCAAAAGACTTCGTTCATTTTGAGGTTTGATGTTATCATTGCGCGCATAAGGCGGCTGCTTTATTTCATGATCCGGTTTATATTCAAAGTTTACTTCATGCCGTTGATTTACATTGTTGCCAAGTGATGTTTGTGAATATGAAGGTAAAACCTAGAACGGTAAATAATAATAATAGGTTATTCCTAAGCAGTAAATTGTTTATGTTTAAAAACACTATTAAAAAAACTGTGCATGGTAACGTAGTAATTAAGATATTTTATTCTACAAAAAAATTAAAATATTGATCAAAGTATAGATAGAACTCCTTGTAAATTTAATAAATTAATCCAGCGCAAATAACTAAAATATATTCTTAGTCCAATTACTGCAATGGCATCACAGATGACGAGGATTCAGGTACATCCAGCAGTACTGACATAAGAGAACTTTGCGTAAATTGTGGCAAAACCTTTGCGAAAAATCTTTTCAGACATATTTTATACTTTTTGCAGAATCCAAGCATCCTCGGTGTATTTTTGTGTTTGGGCAAAATACCAACAGTAAAATTGGTTGAAAGGGTTAAATGAAACTTTTTTGTTTTCCATCCCATCGGCTTTAAATCATTTTCAAACATCTTTGTAAAAATTCATCTGATACATGTTTCACACTTTTCTATCTGAGAAAGCCCTCACCAGTATTTTTTCAAATATGTTTACCTTAGCATGAAAGGGGTGAAAAGGAAGTTCAGCCGCAGAAACATAGTACTCAATTTGCGGCATGAACACTTGTGTGGTATATTTATATATTAGGGAGGTTTGTTATAGATATCCTTTATGTTTCCTTTAGCAAAAGGTATATGCAATTAGCGCAGTCTCCCAGGACTGACTTCTATTTTTGTGCTTTATATTCAAGTCATAATAAAAACAAAATTTATATTTCAAAATTAAAAATTTGCACCAAACTTAGGATCACTCAAAGAAATCCTTATACTAAAAAAAGCTCAATATAACGGGGTATTACTTACCTGTTCTTTATTGGTGTCAGCAGAGACGAAGTTGGTATCATTCTCTTTTTGTGGCATTTTTATTGTTATATTATCTTCGTAATCCGAGTCAAATTTATCTTTTTCTTTCTTAGATGAGTCGGTATTACTTATAACAGGTTTGCTTATATTTTGATCTTCTATGGTATTTGTTGGAGCCACATTGTCGTTGACACTTTCCAAGGGCTCTGTTGGGTTCGAGTCATCTTGTTCCCGAGCAACGATCTCCTTTTTCTCAACTGCCGTACTTATTTTGCTGACTAAAAACAAATCAAGAATATATAAAAAATTATTTTTTTTTTGCAACAGTCTTGTATACATCTATCTAAAATTGATAAGCTATAATTGACTGTTTGATGTCATTTTTCTTATATATGTATATATATGATTTTTAATGGTTGTTAAATAAGTATATAGGGATTTCTTAAAATCTTAAATAAGTTCATATCTTACCAGATTTAAATGCTCCGAGCTTAGATAAAGTTTCATTTTTATAAACGTTCACTGAATTTCTTAAAAAACGATTTGGAATCAACGATCCTGGTGAACAGTTTTTTTCCTTACAGTCTGGACACTCACTATCTTCCGATTCCAGCAATGAATTTCGAACGCCTGAAATAAGTAAAAGATATTTTAGATATAAAATTATTTAAAACTATAATTTATAAAAAGTTGTCATTTACGAGGACCTATAAAATCCTGTGCTAAAAATTCATCTTTATAGATTTTGTGAAATATCGATAGTTTAAAATAAACTATGCAAGAACTAATATCCCAGCGGACCAAACTTTCGCAAATAATATCGTATTCTGGTGAAAAGCGGGACTAAAGCCGACGCATATGCCATGGTAATAAGACAGGCGAATACAGATATGTATTCTCTATGGAGCACAGATACATCCTTTAGTGTTTAATATATAATTTATCCTTCTTTATGCATTGGTAAAATAGGAGAGTGTCATGTTAAGTATAGTTTTAAGAAGCTATATGATATAGCCAGTTGCGACATATAACAGAAAGAAGGACGTATGCATGGCTATATCGACTAGGCTGATGTAGAATATATATATCTGCTATCAACGAGTTCCTACGAGAACGGAGTTCTTTAAACAAAACAGTTATGCCCTTTTTTCCTATATGCAATGTATTCGGGGTATGAGAATTACAAAAACATAGTTCTGACTGTGTCTACATTAAGTCCAACCCCGTGTTACATCGCTCAGTAGCTTTTTTTTTTTTTGAATAATTTTATACTTACAATCATCGCAAAAGGAACTACCACAACACGGTATCATTACGGCATCAACAAAAATATTCCGGCAAATACCACATATTAAGTCTTCTGGAATTTCTTGATCCTTCTCGTTGGATGCTATATAGTTTGAAGTTTCTTGTTCTGTTGAGCTTTAAAATAAAAGTAAAAAAGGTATTCATTTAAATTTAAACAAGAAAATTCTTATAATTCAATGTTAAAGGGAAATTTTGAAGGATTGGACGTTTAAATGACAAGCATTAAACTAAAACGCAGCCATATGTGTGTGCGTTTCCAATGTAATTTGAAAATCCTGCTTGGCTGAGTTTTCTGAACGTCGGCCTGGTGAAGGCGCATAAGGACTTATTGACACTGATAATTCATTTAGAAAACTATTCTGCCAACTTCTAATTGCTTTTGCAGTAGTAAAAAAATTAAAAAATAAAATTTCCTCCTTGGATTAGATGGTAGAACTTATTCCTTTACGTAACTTAACGTATTACTTACATTTCTGGCTTGCCTCTAAATGATCGTGGAATTCCAGTATTTCTCTTAACTTCAAATTGCTCTTTTCCAGAAGAAAAAGAACAGTTCTTAATCCAGTGGCCACCTCTTTTACATTTATTACATCGATAGGAGGCAGGCACTTCGCCGATCTGAGACTGTCCTTTAATTCTGTGATACCTGCATAATTAAGTCAAATGTCATTTATATTAATACCTATTCAATTTAAGTGGTAGTGCTTTTAAAAATACTCAAGAAATGCTGCTATCTATTCACTTTAAGTGGTAATGGCTTCTAAAATGATTGATAAAGCACGTACGTCTTTGATACAATGAGAATTAAATAGAAAACATCTCAAGAAAGTAAAAGCTCCAATCTTTTACCAAAGGTTAAGCACTGACGCAAAAAACGGATAGGTTACTCTTAAGCTATATCATCTTTAAAATGATCATTTTATTCAGTATTGGTAACGAGCAATCTTTCATAAAATCACTAGATATAGATGTATTCAAATATTAAGTGAGATCTTAACAAGTTTTTAAGCCTATTTAACATATTCAAACCCTGAAATTACCTGAGGCTTTAAAAAATGCATACTAGATGCTTCATGGCTATGAAAAGTGCGATCAACATTTTCTCAAACCCTTGCTTCCTAAGGAAACCAGACGATATGTGGACCGACAAACCGGGTCGGTGCTATTCCATTTTGTTTAAGACGTGCTTATCCTCCATGAGATATTACGAACTAGTATAACTTTTAACACTATAGCTTTTATATTTTAATATATGTTCTAGCTATACACCGTATTAAATGATTTATAAGTATACGTTTTCTTAAATTATTGAAAGCAGATAATTTCAATTATTAAAAGCATTTATATTAAACTGTTTCGGTAAAATACTTACGTTTTAGGATCATAATCCGCTGTACTTTGCATCATCATAGCTTGTATTTTTTCCTCTTCACTACCTTGCATTTTAAATAAATCCATGTTAAGGTTTTCGGGTTTACTTGAGGGCACGTTTGTGATAGCATTATCAGGTGGCGGATCCCATCCTTTTTTAATTGGGTGGGCCACCGGTATCCGGGCAATAATTAGTGTGGTATTTTTTGGTATTAAAAAATTGTCATCCTTATATTCTAAAAAAGAAAAATGTTATTCAATTTAGTTAATAAGCAGTTTTAAAAAAGTTGTTTTACGTTTACCTTCCTTAGTTTGGGCATTGGTTATTTGAAGATCAAAATCAATAACTTTACCAAGTCGTTTCTGCAGAATTATTTCTCTTTTTAAATCAGCAACAGAAATGTGAAGTCCATCGAAAGTTATAGTGTCGAAATTAAGGGTACTTTTAAATTTATAATGTACCGACATTTTAACATTTCTAGAAAAAATAAAAATATATCCATTGTTATTTAAATATTTATTTATAATATATCTCTATAAAGCTGTTTTTCCTGACTATCGGATTGGTAATCAGCGCGCAAATCAAACCGTAAGATCTAGGAAGAATTTCTTACTGTACTGACAGTGCTTTGGAAAATTCCAAAAGTTGGAAAATCGTGGGAAAATGTTTTATGAAACTTTTTTGTTGAATATCCGAACGGCCTTAAAACCATTTTCAAATACTCAAAGCAAATTCCAATTCAGCAAATTCAGTTGAAAAATAAAGGTTAAAAGTTGTCAAACGATAGCATCAAAGTCATCAAACCCTGCCATTTTTCTATCCCCTACAGGTTAGCATTTGAAGAGTAGTCGGATAGGCATGGGTGTTCATTGTGTAATGGACACCACGATGCCGAACTGATCCTAGAGACGGTAGCGCCGGCAGCGGGATCCGGTAGGCCTTCCTCGGGTGAGAAGTCTGTAGAAGGCCTTCGGTTTCAGGTAGTGCCTGCTCAGCAACCAAACAGCAAGGAGAAAGAAGCGAGGACACGGCCTTGCCCGGAGTCTTGCAGTGCCCACGAAGGTTGTATAAGGCGAGTTGGACTGCGGTACCGCACAGAGGAGGCACAGCAATGATATGCCAGAAAAAGAAGAATTAGGGACAAAGGTGGGGATCCGCCCATAAGTAGGAGATCGGTATGCGCTGCCAGAGTGGAGCGGTCAAAGCCACTCTGAGAACCTTAGGGACTCATCTAAGTGTTTGGAAGGGCAGATATGGGGAGGGAATCCCCCATAGAGGAGGCAGAGCTAGCCGTCGCGTAGACCGCACAGCACCATAATCGTCCTTGTCAAGAAAAAACACTATCGGCAACTCAATACAAGTGTATAAATGTACAGTACAATAGCCAGTATCGCATTGAATATATAGCCTTACTAGGTTTAAGTTGGGACCCCAATCTTCGGTTTCCTATTGCAGCAGGTTGCTTCTACTTAATCTACCGTCGTCAACCAAACGTCGTACAATCCTCGGTGTTGTCTTCCTACACAAGTGGATTGTTGGCGACATAGATTCTTCATTCCGCCCAGACCCACCAGGAATTATCGCCCCTTATTCCTACCAATGTGCACAACAGATTACGCTATGCACAATTCTTTTCGCGTGTTAAATATAACAATAGTTTGGATCACGTTTTCTCCACCGAACTTTGTCTACCCCTAATAAAATTGTTGCTTTTAGAATACCTTCGGGAACTAATTCCCAGCTATGAGTATAGCTTGCCGAACAGTCGGTGATTTCCCATCTCCATCTCTTTGTCATCTATTAAAACTACTCTACTTAAACACTCTATAAATCTAATAAATATTGCTCTACTTTATTAATAACTTATGGAAATACTTGCTATTGTAGCCCTTTTCAATGGGTTTGTTGTAATTCAGGATATTTACACGAAACAATTGGCGAATTCAGTTGTGGATTGAACAAAAATATATGGGATATGGCTAAGTGTTTCTCTAAGTCTTAAGCGGAGATTATATCCCAACTTAAACGGATTGGGCGCACGCAGTTTTATATATATATATACGTGGTAAAAATGTAATTACTATGCCTGGATTGTCGCAGAGCTAGCTCAATGGAAATCATTAAAGCGGTCTTTATCAGCAGCATCGTGCACGAAGCAATCGGTAGACATTGCTGTGTCCCTTGCAAGCCGGTGACTAGATATCGGGAATCAGAGACACACACACACTGATAAATAGGTATATCTATATTGTGGCATCGTGCAAAAGTGCGCCTTGAGTGGAACACAATATGATTGATGCTGTAATGCAAAAGCAGCAGAACGGCAATGTACGGACGATCTTTCAACGAGATATCCTTAATTGGCTTTCTCATATGGTGCAGATTTTGAGGTCCGGCTTTCGAAATTGAAAGTTCTGCTGGATAGGCTATTTAGTAAATAACTGCAACTAATACAATGCGCATATAGATATTAACATAGAATACTGACATAATAAGCATTTGTAAACATATAACCCAACGCAACACAATTACTTTTGCTAAATTATCAAACACACATATGCACATATGTAAGTACATACAAATGTGTACAAACATGCATGTTCAGCAGAGCAGAAGTCAAATTTATAATATACTAATAACTCGGTACTTAGTACTTACACTTCTTTACTCAAAAGTCAATAGAATACCACAACAATACTTTTAAGTTTTTTAACTAATTGATAAGATAAAATTAAATTATCATTTTGAGTTTTGTCACAACAAACTGAACTAGTTAAATTAAATGGAACGAGTTTCATTTTGCAATGTTGATTATTCATGTTTCCATCATTTGCGTTTAGTACGTCGCGTTTTGGTATTAGCGTTTATCGATAGACAATCGATTTTTACTTAATTTTAATTTTATTTATTTAAACACAATTCATATCAGTCTGTTGCCAGTAAAATTAAAATTGGATATATAAATAAAAAACAGAGCACCATACACCAAAAATGAAATTAAATAATTTATCGAACTTTTTTGAGCATTTTACACACATCATATAATTTATTTTGTTTTTGTATCTTTACTGCGATAACTTTTATTAAAATATAAATATTTGGAAATGTCTCAGGGTAAACTGTAGCTTCTGTAAAATGTTAGTGCCATAGAAAACCTGTTGCCTTTGGTATTTTCGGCAACGTCGATATTTATTATGTGGTAGGGTTATCGGAGGTATAAGGCCGAGCGCTTAGGAATGCCCAAAAAGAGCGAGAGGGTGCCAGCGGGTGAGTGAGGCCGAGCTCACAAACCGGACTAGACGTTAATATTTTCCTGGCCCGAAGCTGCAGGAAATCCAGGAATCCAACGAGGCGGGAGAAAGACAAAGAGCTGCTATATAGCTATATATATAATTATTATATTATTATTTTTATTTTGGAGGTCGGGAGTAATCTTTAACATCATATAATCTAAGATAAATGTAAATATTATTAATATTACTTCAAAATTGAATGCCAAGCAGGGCTTGGCTTCTCATTTGTTTTCTCAGTTTTGAAGTTTTGCACAAACAATATTGTTCATATATATATTTGATGACATTTATTAATTAAAACTAGAAAGATTTGTTGAAAGTAAAAGGATTCGTTAGTCTTATAAAGATTTACTGGCCTTAGTAATAGTAAGATTGTTTCCTATTGGTTGACGATTAGTTATAGCTGAGGAAAATGTGCTCGATCCTGCTTCAGACGCTGAATGAGCGTCAGAATTTCCACTGCCGCCTCCTGCAGGAGGTCGAGTAAGAACGCCATAGAAACTTTAAGGATTTGCCGAGATGCAGATTCCAGCGGGGCATATAATCGAATTGGAGAAAGAATTGACACACCAAGAAAGGCTTCCGCGGAGCCTAGAGTTCCCAAAAACTGTAATCAGGTCGACAGCAAACGCGGCAATTGTAACCACCTGACGTAACGTCTGGTCCACCATCAGAGAAGAAAGGAATTGGCGCAACTTTTGGGGAAGAGGGCCGGAGAGACGATGACTTCTATCAGAAGGAAGCGAACGCTAACGTACGTGCAAGGACGTACCTAAAACACAAGCGGTGGATCGGCATGTTTAACGGCTAGAACATCATAAGCTTGAGGACTTCCTGTTTCGACACCGATCGTCCCTTCCAGAGGGCAGAGGGTCAATAGCGGGAAACCAGCATACACAATTCTGCAAACCGTTCCGTACTATTCCACACCGGCTCAGGGAAACAGGCAACGATGGTGAGCGTCAACGCCAACAGTGCCCGGATTGACCCAACAAGGACACTTAATCGGCAAAGCACCAGATCTAGCTGAGGAGGTGATCTCGCTGGGCAAGATCTCTGGGGATATGCAGGTGGGTAAGAAGGGAACCCATTGGGAATGGTCGCCAAAGCGCTATTAAAGGGCTTCAAGGCATTGATGCGATAAAGCAGAAGCACTACCTGGAGGAACTGATCCGAACGGTTGCCATTGGTTGCGGGGTCTTGGGGTACGAAAGAGGAGGCAGCGTTGGATCAAGTTAAGTAGATTTCGATGACAGTCCCGATTCTCGCATGCCCAGGCTTGGGCAAAACGTTCGCACTGCAGAAGGCCACGAGAGACAATAGTCTCAGCGCGGTTACGTAGACGATCGGTAAAGAATAACGGGAAACTGCGTGCGCCAGGCGGATACTTTTAAGGCGGAGATCAACTATTCGGTCACGGATAGGTGTGCCCTGCGAAAAGTGATTTGTTGCTGCTTCCTTTGTTATATGTGCTGTTCTTGTGCTTGATTTTGCGTTTGCAGACCAACCCTTTTTATTAAAGATTTATTATAAGACAGTAATAAAAGCTTAAAGTAACTTCCCATATCACCTGTCTACACCAAACATCGTCTGAAACAAGCCTCATTTCTTAGTCAGTATTCAACAAACACTGCTTTGATTAGTTGCTATAATTTACTTTTTATCTTCTTTTTATACCATTATAAAACCTAACAAATTAACTTTGAAACTTTTGAAAGCCACAGCAATGGTGGGAGAAAAAGAGTGCGTCAACTACAACTAATGAAATTTGCCTTAGATTTGTTTAAAAAAAATACCCATACATTAATTGCAGTTACATATAAATGTTTAAATCTGAAATATATTTAGTCCATACTATAAGTAAAATATTTTACAATCTGTCAGCGACTTTTTTTTAATGGTTCACGCATACAATTACATAAAACATTTGAAATATTAAGTAGAAATCTAGACTTGGTTAAGGGAATATATGTGGGTTAGCCATGTAAACGAGGATCATAGTCAGTAGTGTGTACCTTGCTAATATTAGCCATGCTCTTATTAAGCTCTACTAATCGTGGCTTCTCCTGAGACACCGCTGCAGCTGCCTGATTTTTCGGTCCAACCATGAAGTATGTGCGTACACGAGGTTTTTCTTGCTTCATAACCGTGTCATTAAACTTACTATTGCTTAGTGTTTTGTTGTTGACATTCGAAGTGGGCTTTGGTTTAATTTGCCACTTAGTTACATTTGGCCGCAGTCCAGCAGGTATCATGTGCGACTTAAGCTCAAGTTCCTTAGTATTGAATACCTCACAGTCGACTTGCATCATCAATATGTCGCCATTTGGCGATGGTTCAGCTGTAGGTAACAACAACGACATTTTCGGACGTGAACTTTTATTGAAAGTTGATGGAGATAACAGTATGTGATCTGTATTAAATGAGAGCACATAAAAGGTATCGTCTTGTCGTTTAATACCCTTAAAAAGATGAATGGGTTCACTGTCATTAAGTGTGTTTCTTTTATTATTATTGCGTATATCCATTTTCCGTTGCTTATGCTCAATATCTGGCATCTCTTTAAAACCTAACAAACTTTTACGTTTGCCTAGGTTTGTAGGTTGTCTTTCCATATCAGGCAATTCCAAATAATCTGTCGAAAACTTAAAGCCATGTGAGTTATCCCGATCAATGTTGAATTTCGTGTTCATGCTCAATTTAAGGTGCCCACTGGCATTAGCTAGTTTTTCTAACTGAAATGCCAATCGAGAGTATTCCGAATTGTTGTCACTAGAGTTGGACGAAGCACAAGCACCATTACATTTTGTAGGACTTGGGTAACTCAAAGGCGGCGGATCATTTCCTGTATTAAACCTAGAAGAGACCGTAGAATTCCATCGCTCATTTTTTGTAACATTTTGACTTCGACTTGTGGGATGTAGAAAATGTAAAGGCGGCATCACCAAGTCCTCTGTCTGACGATTGCTTTGGTTTAGCTTCTCGTTGTACTCCTCTTCAGATTCCACCCAAAGTAGACGACGACTTATGGGAATTGGGTCGTTTACATTCGATTCGGACACGACAGCAGTGCTTTCCGCGTCAAGATTTTGGTTAGTTAAATAAGATTGAAAATTTCCAGCATTCAGAGTGACCATGAAAGCCATTGCGAAAAGCACGGCAATATTTTTTTTTACTGTAGCTGCATTCATATGCTGCTTAAAACTTTTAGAAGTTGGTTTTGGAGCGATTTTTATGTGCTGGTCAGATCGAGAAGTAGGGTTTAAAGAATGCAATACAAATTCACACATACTGCCCTTGCGGCACTTGCACGTTTTGGCATAAGCGACCAGTTGGTTGCGCAACGACAAATTTTCCTGTAAAAAAAAATATTTAAACATTTTAAAAAAGAATGGATAGGTTTCTTCGGATGGTTAAACTCCCTTGCAAACATAGATGTTCATCATATTCTAGTTCTATTATTAGCCACTCAACGAATAAGCAAATAGTTCTCTTGGGAGATGTTTCGGAACAAAAATGAAAAATACCCGTACTATCTTGAGCTACATGACTTAAGAATTACTTTATTGATTGTATTAAATTGGAGTGAAGCTTGATGCTTAAAAATAAACTTTCGTTCATCAATTTTGACATGCATTTTTCATCTAAGAGATGTGCATTTTCGGAAATTGTGAAACACGTAATGAATTTTCAGAAAAATATTTGACAACGTTTTTTTAAGTTGATTTACCGGAGTTGCAGGTGAAATTACTTAAATTATTATTGAACCCGAAACGTCACACACTAAAAGCTCGAACCCTACTCTTACCTGGGAGGAATAAATCTTATGAAAAGTGTATAATTAAATTTCATTTCATATATAAGAAATGAACTTCGTTAAACTCTTCAAAATAAAAAATCGTGACTTACCCCTTTAAGAGTATAGTTCTCTTTCTCAAGATTATTTAATCGGGTCTCCAACGAGACGACATATTCCTTTTTTTTCTGTCGCGACAACGAAGCTGATTGACGATTTTTAATCATGCGTTGCTGTTTTTTGTACATCTTCTCATCTATCGTTCTTTTAAATATGTAATTTAAAGGTTCTGGCTCCGTAGAGGTGTCACGATTACAATTAGAATGTGATATATGATAGGGATTTTTATGCAAGTTGGAGGAGCTGCGTGTACTAGTTGGACTCGTTCCATCCGTCATATGTTGGCCTTTTAGCTTAGCATTTCCTGCTTTTAGGACGATTTTTGGGATTTGTGTTTTGACACTTCCATTAATCTTAGTACCTTTAGAACCATTTAAGTTAATTTTATCCATGAGTGTCTTGTAGTCATTCGTGGAAAGGAATATAGTTTTAGTTTTTCCGACGCTTTCCGTTGAATGTTCAATTTGCATTTTGTCTCGGCAGGGTTTTTGCGGTTTCGAAGCTAAGCTCTCATCTATATTAACAGGAAT